TTTTCGTCCTTTAACAAAAAAATATTTTTTTCCTCCTTGTAATAATAATAATTCCAACTGATCCCCCCCTTAACCCTCCCCCCCCGCATCAAAACCTATGGGGGTCACTATGCTCGCTGTCATTTAACACTAAATATAAATTAGTATGGGGGTCACTGCCAAGAGCACCTATTCTTTTTGGAAAAATATATGCCTTATCAGAAAAGGAACTCCATATCCTAAAGGAATACATACAAGAAAGCCTAAAGAAAGGATTTATCCGTCCTTCTTCTTCTCCTGCAGGTGCTGGTATATTCTTTGTGGGGAAAAAATATGGCAGTTTAAGACCTTGTGTGGATTACAGAGAACTCAATCATATCACCATAAAAAACTAATATCCATTACCCATTATTCCTGAACTGCTTGCATATATTTTAAACTTGATCTAAGAGGTGCCTATAACCTTCTCGGAGACCGAGAGGGTGATGAATGGAAAATGTCATTTTAAATATCTGGGTATGCCCTACGGACTCTGTAATGTCCCTGCCTCTTTCCAGCATTTCCTCAACGATGTGTTTCATGACCTTCTCGATCAATATGTAGTCGTTTACTTAGATGACCTCTTCTCCTCAGATCTCCAAACCCATTGTCTACATTGTCTACAAACGTTTGAGGAAATTTAATCTGTGCAAAAATAGAAAAATGCATCTTCGAAACCGACTGTGTGGAATTTCTGGGTTTTATCATTAAACAGGGTAAAGTGGAAATGGATCCCAGAAAAATAAATGCTATCCTTGAATGGTCCACACCCCAGAATAAGAAACAAATACAACAATTTATAGGATTCGCCAACTTTTATCTAAAATTCATCCGTTACTTTTCAAAAGTAATCCAACCCCTAACAAACCTTACCAAAAAAGAAGTAAAATGGAGTTGGTCTCCCCTGGCTCAAAAGGGGTTTTATAATCTGAAACAATTATTTACCACGTCACCCATCCTTTACCTAAAAGACCCTGAGAAACCCTTCTTTCTGGAATTTGATGCATCTGACTCAGCCACAGGAGCAGTGCTATCACAGAGAGATGTTAAAACAGGATTATTACATCCTATAGCCTTCTATTCCTACAAGTTAAAAGATGCAGAATCCAATTATGATGTTGGAGACAAGGAGTTACCACCCATCAAGAAAGCATTTGAAGAATGGCGACACCTACTAGAAGGGGCTAAATACCCTATCACTGTATATACTGATCATAAAAATCTTGAATATCTCGGAACGGCCCAATGTCTTAATTCTCAACAAGCAAAATGGGCACTGTTTTTTACTCGTTTTTCTTTTCATGTCACCTATCGACCAGGATCAAAAAATCAAAAGGCTGATACAGTCTCAAGGATGTATTCTTCTAAAACAGATAAAAAACAAACTAGAAACATCAATATTACAGGAAGATCAGTTTGTTGGCCTCATGTCTCACATCTTACAAGAGATAAAGGAAACTACCACTTCCAATAATTTTCGCACATCACCTGAAGGTTACCCATTGTCTCATGACAAGATTTTTGTACCTGAAAAAATCCATCTTAAAGTGCTCCACCATTATCATGAAACCCCATTGGCCAGTCATGGAGGACAGAGAAAGACATAACAAAGTATCAGATGGCATTTATGGTGGCCTTCTCTTCAACAAGATGTCAAGGACTATGTCAATTCCAGTATCACCTGGGCCCGTGGTAAAACCAACACATCCAAAACTGCTGGATTATTACAGCCATTTACTGTCCCATCCAGACCCTGGAGTCATCTTACCGTTGACTTCATCATAGACCTCACTATTTCACAAGGATACGATGCCATTATGGTTGTTGTATATCGTCTAACCAAAATGGCACATTTTGTTCCAGCTGGACTACTCCCTACGGCCAAACGAACTGCCATCCTTTTTCTTGACAACATCTTTTAACTTCACGGAATTCCCGAATCTATCCTCTCAGACAGAGGAACGCAATTCACTTCCCACTTCTGGAAACCCTTCTGTCAATCACTCAAAATATCTGTAGACATCTCCACTGCCTTCCATCCCCATACCAATGGAAAGACCAAGAGAACAAACTAAATCCTTGTTGTTACTGTACCCATTTACAATATGATTGGAAAGAGTTATCTACAGCTGAATTTGCCCATAACTCAAAGCAACATGGTTCCACCCACAAATCTCCTTTCATGTTTAATTATGGTTTTTAACCAAATACCCTCACAGGAAGTCCCCCATTTACACATGTTCCAGATGTCAAAGTCCATTTACAGCAACTAGCTCAAGGTTTTATTTGGGCCCAATCGACACTACAAGAGAGTCAAGAAACCTATAAAAAATATGCCGACCTCAAAAGACAATCTCAACTGACTTATCAAGTGGGCCAACTGGTTTGGTTATCTACAAGATACTTGAAGCTACCCTGTCCTACCATGAAATTGGGACCCAAGTTCATTGGTCCCTTCCGAATTCCTAAACTTGTCTCTCCTGTCGTAGTGCGATCTGGGTTTCTGTATGTCTGTGTATCTGTGTGTGTATCTGTGTGTCTGTACATCTGTATGTCTGTGTATCTGTGGAATTGTTTGTCTGTGTATATGTGTGTGTGTCTATATTTCTGTGTATGTGTCAGTGCTTACAATGCTGTGTTTACAATGCAGGGTTAATCCAACCTCTAGTGGCTGTCTTCCTGACAGCCACTAGAGGCGCTTATGTGACGCTGGATGCGAAATTCACATCCAGCGTGCAGAACGTCCATAGGAAAGCATTGAGAAATGCTTTCCTATAGACTGTTTGTGCGCGCAGCTCTTGCTGCGCATGCGCATTCCGCTCTGAAGTCGGCGGGGGAGGAGAGGTCACAAGCGCCGAGGAAGCCCAGCACTGGATAAAGGTAAGTAGCTGAAGGGGTTTTAACCTTGAGGGTGGGAGGGTCCTAAGGATGCTATAGTGTCAGGAAAATTAGTTTGTTTTCCTGACACTATAGTGATCCTTTAAGTCTAGGATAGCCTTATGCCTATCCCACACATGCTTAAACTCCCTCACTGTGCTGACTTCTACCACCATGATAAAAGATCTGTTTTGCGGTGAGCACTGTGGACTGTCTGTTTTTTTATTGCAGGTATTAATTCCTTGTGAGTCTAAACCTTATTGGACCCTTATTGGATTCTACATATCGCCAACAGAATCTATAGCGCTGTATAAGGACGTAAAATATACACAGAGAAATACAAAAAGTAGAGAGGGCCCCACCCGTAAGCTGAGATCTAGCCATATATGATTTCATACCGGATATTGAACTCTACTATTATGTATATGAGTACTGGAATATTTGGCATATAGATGTGAATATGTGAATGTTTGTTTTTATTGTTGTAATTTTGTGGCATTAACCATCTTACAACAATATTCAGATCAGACTGCTACATTTATCCTAAGAGACTTCTCTATGTTGTGGACATTATGGATGAATTTATTTAATATATTGCATTTATCAATATTTTATTGGACATTTATTATATTCTATATTATTTTAAAAGTGTGTTATGGACTTACCAGAGGTTGTCATAACCCAATTATAGATATATGTTTGTGCTTATTTTTATATTTCTGTATTTTTAATTATTCTACAGTATTACATTACAATCTATCTTACTGCTCCTGACTATCCTGCTATACTTTTAGTTAGGTTGTATCTTTTTTTTTTAGGGCATGGTGAACCCAAAGTCAGTCTGAGCAATATTTAGTTGATAGTCTCCTATTCCCTCTACTCTTCACACACACATACACATATACACACAGACACACATATATACATAGAGACACATACACAAACATACATACAGACACACATACATACATACAGACAGGCACATATATATACATACAGACGGACACACACACACACATACAGACAGACACAGACAAGCACACACAAATACGAAGACACATACATACAGACACACACATACATACACAAGACACACATACATACAAAGACACATGCATACATACAAACAGACAGGCACACATACATAAGGACAGACCGACACACACACAGACACAGACAGGCACACACACACACAGACAGGCACACACACATATACAAAGACACATACATACAAACAGACACACACAGACACATATATACATATACATACAAACAGACAGGCACACATACAGACAGACAGACACACATACATACAGACACATACATACAGAAAGACACACACACATACACACAAACACACACACACAATGTTTAAGTCAACCTCCTGTTTCCTACCTTTTAAGTGCAGGAGGGTGACTTTCCCTGGGGTCCAGTGGTGGCTCAGGTTGATGGGAGTCAGAGTCCCCACTCTGACTTCCTCTGCTTTCTCCCGCGCAGGCTCTGTGTGTTAGCTGGGAGGAGTGACATACAGTCACTTCCTCCCAGCGTGTGATCTCATTACATGGAGCCCGGTTGCGTTGTTAAAGTGCCCAGCGCTGACCGGGCCCCCTGACAATCCATACCCATCAGGTGGCCCTAACAGCATGGGCCACCCGATGGACCCCTTGGACAGCGGCCCCGGCAGTTTGCCGCGCGGGCTGGGGCCGCAAAAGATGGCGGCGGGTAACCGGTCGCAGGAGTCCGCATGGCGGCCGGGCCCCCGTGGAATGACAGACCCGGTCGCAGCTGCAACCTCTATGCCGCGGTACGTACGCCACTGTCCATAGGAACTTCATATTTTGTAACATTTTACAGGTTTTTGTTTCCCCTGTCTTTTGTCGTATTGAATATTCTTGATAAATTAAGTTGCAGCTTTATTGTAAAGACAAAATGGCTACATAGCAAAAGATAGAGAGGAAATAAGGAAAAACAATCTTCCCTCTAGCACCACAGAGCACACAGTAAATCATCTAACTCATACAGATCACGCACTAGCAATTATTACTAACAGTGGGCACGATTCATTGTTCTTTGTAAAAATATTGTCAGTCAATGTGATGTGCGAGATGTATGCATGTAATGGTTCTCCTATAGAAGTGCCATGATACACCGATGAGGTGAACTGTGCAGAGAACCAATGGAAGAAAATAGTGCAGCAACTAATGCATGTTTTATTTGAATTTCAGTCATCTTTATTACTTGGTTTTATCAGATAAGCTGATACGGATAGGCTGAAAGAAGAAACAACAATTGCAATGTATATTGTAAGTTCATTGACGGGTCAGTCACTTAAAGTTTTGGAAAAGATGCCATTTTATTTTTGGGATATTATGGATAGGAAATATACGTCACATTTGGTCTCAAATTAATTGTCTGGATTCACCAAAATTATCTGACCTGGTAACAACCAGATCAGAAACAGCTGTACATAATGCATTGTGCATTTTCAGTCAGAATTTTGGAACACTATTTGTCTCTCATAATACTAGAATTCCACAGCTTCGTTGACCCTGAAGATTAGCCAAAAAAGTGCATATAATCCATGATGAAACCTAGAGAACTGTGAGGGAAGATTTCAACTGTTGCCATTTTGATTATTAGGGTAGGATAAACGGGTACATAAGAATAACCTTACATAAAGATGGAGGGGGAAATCACACAAGTACTTCTTGCTTCTGTGTCTTTATTGTAACTAACTCAGCTTCTGCTTCCTGTTTCAGGAGGGAAAGGAAGGAGTAACAACAAAATTTATTTACACTCATTTTAACCATACAATGAATAACACAGGTTACGGCACTACGAGAGAACTTTTAGTTTATACCTCAAGCTTGTCATTTTGCATATTCATATATTACATGACTTAAATTCCAAATATATAACTCAAAAACTTTTCTAGTTTATATCTCAACATCAACAATGACGCATCTGCGTCAATCCAGCCATGGCAGAGGACAAGGACCAATCTGACATCCTAGGCAATCTTAATCTGGCTCTCTGACATATAGCCTGTCTCTGCAAGCTGGGCATTGTAAACACTGTATTTCAAAAAAGGAAGCCTCAAACAGCTTTGGACACGGGTGCTGTTTATTGTCTCAGAGTCAGTAGCTCTCCATTCATGAAACCAGCTTGAAAAAAATATGTAGGTTTCTTAAGCAGTTTTGTGAATCAGGGTCTAATTAATGGCTTAAGGCAGTGTTCCCCATCCCAGCCATCAGGGACCACCAACAGTCCAGTTGGGGGTTGGGGAACACTGGCTTAGATTGTCAGCTAATACTCTCAGACACTTTGCGGTGCTCTTTCAAGTATCTAGCGAGCAGTAGGACAGAGAGGAGAAATAAAGGTAAAGCTCTTAACAAAGTCATTTTTACAAAACGTATAGACTTCAGTTGTTTTTGCTACATATTTATCACAAAAGGCACTATGTGGATTTTTTCCTTTTTATTTACCATTTTAATCCATAAGGGTGTGCATAATATTGTGGATTTTAAGCAACTGCTTGGACCTCTTAGCACCATAATAACTTAATTCCAATTGAGTTGTTATGGTCCCTGGTTTATTTTGTTAACATTGTGCTGCCTTTATAAATGCAGGCATAGTTAAAGTGTCAAATTATATATGTGAAGGACTGCGGTGGATGTTAATTCATTGAGCGGTGGATTTTAATTCATTGAGCAATGAATTGCTGAGAATTCTCACTGAGATTCTTGCATTTGTCCTACATAGGGACACCGGAGAAAAGGTCCCATACCGCACATAGCAATCGTATCATCAACTCACACTATGCAAAATGTATGGCATTTCACATTTAAGTCTATTGAATTCTCAATTAAATTTTAGAGAATTAAACAACAAACTAGGCCAGACTAGCTCAGTTAGAGAAATTGTTCAGCCCAGCTATAGTTGCTTGGCTATTGCCTAGCTTGGCTATTTTCTCAATGTTGCCATTCGGATTTCATTTAATTTCAATTAATTCTGAATTAATTTGGGGCACAGCAAATAATCTTGCAAGATACAGTTTAGTGAATAACAATTGTATCAGTGAAAGTTCCATGCCTTCGGGCTTCGAATTGGGAGTATGACGTTTTATTCTTTTGTATAATTTGCCCACATTAAACATGGCCGCTGGACAATAGTCACATTTTTTTGTGTGTGTGTCGCAAGCGCCCTGCCCTTAACAGCCATCGCCATCTCAGTTCCTGGCAACGACGTCCTCAGTCGCGTCGCGAAGCCACGCTCACATGCTTGCGTGGTGACGTTGGCCGTTGGCGGTCGGCCATCTTTTCTGGCGCCCCGGGTTTCTCTCAGCGGTGTGTGTGTGTGTATAGAGGGGGGAGCAGCGGGAGCTTTTGGCGGCGAGTGGCTTTACCTGCGGCTTGCCTGAACCCTGTGGGGGCCACTGACGAGGAAACCGCGCGCCTAGCAACCGACGGTCATCAAGCAGCAAGACGACACGCACGGGGCCCCCTTCCAATCGCGTCATAACTGCGCGCCGGTATCACCGCCATTCACTCCGCTGCCGGAAAGCAACTCATTAAACCCCCCATTCTCCGAGAAGACGCAGCCTCCCTCCCCCGCCCCCAGGTGAGGAGATGTTACAATACAAAGTGTGCCCCCATTTTATATTCAGCCTTGTGCAGTATCCCAGGGCCCCCGCCATCCGATAACCCCCCTTCTCCTTTATTGATAATCCAGCGGCGGAGGCACAGGCCTCAGCTAACCCGCGGGCAGGCAGGGATGGATGGAGGGAGGGAGGGAGGTGGATGGGATCATGGATGGGATCAGCCATTTACATGTCAGCGGGGTCTGGCCTGGAGATCCATGGCTGCTTTATGGTGGCATCATTAATCTATGGATGGGAGGTTATATCTTCCCATCACATGGAGAGAGGAGGACCACCTCGGGTTTTAGTCACTGAACCTGGATTTGTGGAGAATTGGAAAGGGAATTGCTCATTTTAGGCCGAAGTAACCGATTTATTTTTTTCCTTCCAAGTGGAGCTCTTTTGTCTTAAATTTCTAATTCCTAGACATTCTCCACAATCCCCTGTAGTAACCCTTATGTGTACTATATGAAACCGGCGTTTTAGATTAATAGAGAATCAAAATGAAAAATAATCCATAGCATAGAAAATTGGAAGGTGGTCATTTATTTGGTTGTGTGATGTTGGTCTCTGTTTACGATGAGCACGTTTTTACATTTTATCAGTTGTGTGTGTGTGAATGGAACATCAGCCATTGATCATGAAATCAGAGTGCTAGGCTGGCTGTGTGGGAAGTACAGGCCTTATGTATTTGGCTGTGTTTCATGATTAAAGCGAATGGAATGATTTTCTGAAAATGTGTGAGTGTAAATTGTATTCCAAATTTCTTGAGGGTGGGTTGTTTTTGTTTTTTTTTTAACCATGATCATTGTTGCTTTACCACTTAAAGTGTAAAGATTCAAATATGTTTAATTTATGTGGATGACACATGCCTTTGAAATGTTACATTATTTAAAAGACCTGCTAGTAAAAACACACACACCTGGCGTTTTACTAAAGTGAGCATTCTGAACACAAAGTGTTGGTGTTGCATTTGTTAGTAAATAACACTAAACATAATCCGGTCATGCTCATAGATTGTAATCTTGCGTGTTTCTTTATAGCCCTTTTCAATCATTTTGTGCTATATAAATGTAGTAATAGCAGCGCAGGCAATTGACCATGGAAAAACACATTTTAGGCCTAAGTGGCCAATGTCAAATAATGGTACAGTCTATGATTTTTTTTTATTTTGGGATAAAATCCCTATACAGTAGACTATGCTACACAATTCCTTGTTTAAAAGTCTGCACATTAACACATAAATATTTTATTTAGGCATCACAGCATTTAGTTTTATGCTCCTTGGCTTTGATGGCAGTTAAATGGTTAAGTGTGGAATGGTAGCATTTTCTGTTGATGTATATGTACCACTGTAGTTATAATAGTACAAGCAATATGAACAATTTATGGGATCATATATATCTTTCCAAGACCTCTATGTGTGAAAATTATTTGATATTACCTGGAGAGGTGGGTTTAATTTGTGGGGGGGGGGGGTTTCCCCTTGGAATATGGAGATGGATATCTAAAACGTAAGACGAACATGTCATTGGCATAGTTAATGGGATTTGCTATCTTTATGTTTCAGTGCTACCTGGGTTTGTAAAATAAATATATATTGCATTTTTTGATAAGTTAAAGGTCACCTTTTAAGCTGCTCTGAGACACCTGTGTTTTTGTTGTAGTAGAGCTCCATGCTAAGTTCTGAAACCATAAACAAAAGGTTTTTAACCAGTTATCTCAAACAAATTTAGAAAGTAAGCCTTAACTGGACAGACCCCTACCTTGATATTTTATGCAAACCAGTAATTTATCTGTTGAAGTGATCACAGATTATTAAACTTTGCCCAAGCTAAATATTTTTTTTTATCTTTACAGTAAAATAGTTTTTAAATGGAACTATTTGGTTACATTTTGTACACCACACTTTGTATATCAATTTTTTTTATTTTTTTTTTTAAGCTAAAGTAGAAATATTTCAGCAGTTCTCATCTCTTCTTACTCAAGAAACCAGTCTCTAACTGTAGGTGTGTGATGCTTTTGTGTAGCCCTTCCTCTTTTGTCTGGAGACAGGGATGTTGCTGTGGATGAGAGTAGCCATATTTGAGGTCCCAGAGAGAGCTTGATGCACTGCAGTAGCTTGAGCGATTAGTGGCCAGGGAACAATGTAACATGCTCATGAAGCAGACTAAGGAGGGGGATGGTAGCATCAAGGATTTCTTAATACATCTACCCTGAAAATCACTAGGCTTTTTCTTTTCGTTTTTCTTGATTGCTGCACCACTCCACCGCATAATGCTTTACAGTATGCACAACTGTCTGTGGCTTTTTACTTGCATACACACCAGTAACCTCAGTGGGCTATTTGGGTTTAATTTGTCCTGGTGATTATTGCAAGATACTATTTCCAGATATACTTGGATTTTTTTTTTTTTTTTTTTTTTAAATACGAGGCAGTGATGGCTAATATTTGTTACTTTTAATGTACATTATATTTCTCATGATGCCTAGCAAGATGAGTTTTATGGGAAGTTCAGACTACAAAATACTTTTGCCAAATATTGGCCGTTACTGGCCTGTTTGTGTGTGTGTGTGTGTGTCTGTTTTGTTTTCCTTGATTTTTCTTTTAATTTGCTTGATGTAAGGTTGATGAGTCCTAACTTGTGGCTTTATTTTTCCTTAGGAGTTAGCATTTTTCTTCTAATTTTTGCAACGTTTTACATATATCCAAAATCCAATACATATCCATCAAATATGACTACTTTTATATTTGTATACTTGGTATTTATAGTAAATGAAAATATATTTCATGTGTTTTTAATAGCCAGTGATATCTCAAACATACTTCTAGTAAAGTATAATTATTTGTACATTTGTTTTCATGCTTACAAACAGATAACACATTCATGGGAAGAGGTGTATCAACAGTTCTTTATAAACCGTAAAAATGAATTTTAGAAATAAATGCGCCTGGTTACTTGGCATACATTTTTAGAGTTTGTGTGAGGTGAGATGCCACAATGAAACTGGTGATCCAACTGCTGGTTTAAAAAAGTGCAGGGCAAAGGTAACACCACACATGTCGAAAAGAATAACAGGAAGCAACAGGGTGAGAAGAGACCTTCTCTTAATTAATCATAGGTGAGTGATAATGGAACGTGTGTGTATGTGTGTGTGTATGTATATATGTGTGTGTGTGTGTTGTAAAGCGCAGCGCTTTACAACATATATACATGCGCATTATATTTAAAGTCAACATATCATCCACACATTGTGTGGATAACTAGTCATTCAGGTAGGTACTGATATGATAAATACCAAGGTTAGCCGTTGCATGTCCAGGAATAATTGTCTCAAGTGGGTCTGCTGAGATCAGAGCAAACTCTCAAGCCAACATGGAATGCCCATCTGCACCACCTTTAATCTATTGGCATTTATGAATAGGGAGGCTACTTGCAGAGTCATTATAGATGTACTTTACTACTATGCCAGCTATTCCAAATGCATTCTTCTTTATATTCACTGTTACCAAGAAAATGCAACCCATTACATTAGTTATTGGGTTCCCACCCCCTTCCCCTGGGCCAAAGGGGTTAAAATCCTTTCAGCCATTTACATTAATCCAGTGCTGGGCTCCCTTGGCGCTGGTGACCTCTCCTCCTCCTGCTGACGCCAGCTCCTGAGTGGAGCCGAATGCGCTTGCGCGGCCAGAGCAACGCGCGCATTCAAGCTGCCCATAGCAGAGCATTACTCAATGCTTTCTTATGGACATTCAGTGTCCTCTCATGTAATTTTCAGACAGCCACTAGAGGCTGGATAAACCCTCAATGTATTCTCTGAAACTGTTTACAGTTGCAGGGTTAAAACTAAGGTTACCTGGCACCCAGACCACTTCATTGAGCTGAAGTGGTCTGGGTGCCTATAGTGGTCCTTTAAGCCATAATTTATCTAAAAATTCAGATGGGGATAAAGACAAGTGGAAAGGAAATAGCAAGAATATAGCCTTTGAGGGATAATGTTAGCAATGTCTGTAAATTACTGGGATTTGCTTTGGAATTTTACTTAACCCCTTAAGGACCAAACTTCTGGAATAAAAGGGAATCATGTCATGTATCCTTAAGGGGTTTAAGGGATCCTTTAGTGCCAGGAAAATAAAGCTATTTTCCTGGCACTATAGGGTTATTAGGTTCCCCCCTCCCGTGTCGCTGAAGGGGTTAAAACCCCTTCAGCCACTTGCCTGAATCCAGTGCCGATGTCCATTGATAGACAGCCGCTGAAGGCAAACTTAGTGCTGCAATGTAAACATTGCAGTACTAAGTGCAAAAGGGTCACAGAACCCACACCTGGGTGCCTACAGTGTCCCTTTAACTAGTAAGGTGCAGACATTCTGTGCTGAAGTCGAATACAGGAAGACCAAATGACTCGATATGTGACTTTTTTTATTTCAAGTAGATAACTACTCTAGAGTTACCAGTTTTATTAAATATGCACAGTATAATTGTCAATGCCCAGGATTTGTATTATGTTTACATTTCTTCTATAATATATGTTGTCTAAATCTGAAAATGAACTATAGAAATCCACTGTATTTGCATATTGGTCATTATTATAATCACTCTATCTGCACTAAAAGCAGGGCTTGACAAATTTGCTTTGAATCTAGGAGCCAGCTAAAAAAGTGAGGAAATTTGATATGTACAGACAATTCGTAGTGGTGCTGGTATCAAGGTAGCCCACATATAAATACCTTGGATATATACCATATATATGTATACCGCACTCAAAGTTTTGATTTAAGGAAAATATGTATTTATTTCTGAGCCTATTAGTATGTCTGTTATTGCACAGTATAATATACATATATGGCAAAAAGAAAATTTATAACAAAAAACTGTCCTATATGGATGCAATATTGTGGCTGATCTACAAAATAGCTGGAATAAAAATATCCCTTATAGATATGCTTCATCTGGTATGTAATGACTCAATAGACAATGTTATATTTCAATAAAGATAAACACTGTGCAAGTGGGGGAGGAGGGGGGGGTGGGGTGAGGAGAGGAGAGGGGCGGAGGCGGCCCGGCCCAGTGTGTACACACTAAAAATTCAATAATATGTATTCATGTGTGAATATTGTTGGACAGAGCCAGTGGTTTGTAGAAAGTCCTCTCAGTCTCTGCAAAGTTGTATGGAGCTTTGCCCTGGTAAATGTCCAAATGTGTACCTAAGTATTCGCAGATTAGGTTTGTCAAGATGAGTCTTTGGTTTTCCATGTTTTCTAAGAAGCTGTCAATAGGGATCTTTGTGCTGTGCGCTCGGGAATAGTTCAGTCCCTTCGATGGGACGGAACTAGTCCCAAGCGCGCAGCCCAAAGATCCCTATTTTTCTTCCTTGTGTGTGCACGCGCGTGTGCCTGTTAGGCGGACCGCATGTTTAGGTTTAGTTGGCATGTATTGCGGTTTGGGCACTCTGGCTCACAAAGGTTCGCCATCACTGCTCTAGAGGCTCTTCAGGGATTTTACGGCACTCTAATTCGTCTGACGCAGGGCGTCCTCACGCTCTGCATGAGGACATCCAGTGTCCGTAAAAGCCCCATAGGAAAGCATTGAGCCAATGCTTTATTATGGGGAGGTCCAAATGCGCTTGCTGCACACGCGCATTAGTTTGCCTTGTCTGACATTGGAGGAGTCAAAGAGCCAAGCGAAAGGTGGGGTTTACTAAACTCACCAGAACTACTATTAATTACAGAAACAATTGTGTGCATTTTATAAAGCCGAGAGTATATCCCCTTAAGGACACAGCTTCAGAAGCTTGACTTACGCTTAATGACACAAGCAATTTTTGCATTTTCTTGCTGTTTGCGTTCAACTGCAATTTGCATCTCTCTCATTTATTGCACCGACACATATTATATACTGTTTTTTAAAGGACAGAAAGGGCTTTAATTTGATATAACATATATATATATAAATGCTTACTTATTATAAAAAAAATACAGAAAAATGCAAAAAAAATGAAAAATATTGTTTTTTTTTACAGTTTTTGCAATAATAATGTGTGCATAATTAGTGCAGGTTAAGGAAAGTAATTAAAAATAAATTTATTTATTTGTTCTGATTTACAGAATATATAATGTGTCTGGGATTTTAAGTTTTTTTTGGTAGTTACAGGTCACAAAGCACAAGGAGTAAAATAAAATTTTAATGTGGAGCGATTTTAGAATTTGGTATGTTTGTCTTGTAAGCTTAATAGCCATAAAAGAAAACAAAATTGCCACACAAAAGTATATATTTATATAAAGTAGACATCACGGGCTATTTACCTAAGGTTGTTTTGACACTTTCTACGTAGCCATTTCACCGCCAACCTCTGCTAAATATTGGAGTAAAATTGTGTTCTTTTTGGTTTTTGGCACACAAACTTATAACAGAGAAATTCTCGTGTATATTTTGTAAAGTTGGTGTGTGCTATTCCTGTACAAAGTTTTATTTTGTGTTCAGTTACATCTGCTGAGTAAAATGACACCCCCATTGTATGTCTTTTGCACTATTTCGTGAAGTTACAGTGCCATACAGGATACCTGTCCTTTTCAGTATTCACAGTAGAATGTTGAGAGATGAATTTAATGAGCCTTAGCTTCCATTTGGGGTATTATAACAGTTTGACTGTTCAAAAAACCCCCACAAAGGCCTACCATTTGTAAAAGTAGACACTCCAGGGTATCTTATAAGGTGCATATTGTGCCTTAACATGCCCCCATTTTTTCACCAATATATGCCAAAGTATGTGGTAAAAAAAAATTTTGTGCATTTTTTACATACGGATTGCATTTTTGCTGGGCGTTTTGTATATTTCATATGTGCCACTAAGTTCAAAACCCCCAAATTATGCTCAGCTAAGTCTTCTGAGTAAAATGACACCCCATATGAATGTCTTTGGCACTATTTCGTGAAGCTACAGTGCCATATAGGAGACCTGTCCTTTACAGTATTCACAGTAGAATTTTGAGAGATGGATTTAATGAGCCTTAGCTTCCATTTGGGGTATTATAACAGTTTGACTGTTCAAAAAACCCCCACAAAGGCCTACCATTTGTAAAAGTAGACACTCCAGGGTATCTCATAAGGTGCATATTGTGCCTTAACATACCCCCATTTTTTCACCAATATATGCCAAAGTATGTGGTAAAAAAATTATTTTGTGCATTTTTTACATACGGATTGCATTTTTGCTGGGCGTTTTGTATATTTCATATGTGCCACTAAGTTCAAACCTCCCAAATTATGCTCAGCTAAGTCTTTGGAGTAAAAATACACCCCCAATGAATGTCTTTGTCACTATTTTGTGAAGCTACAGTGCCATATAGGAGACCAAGCCATATCCGTTTTTACCAAACTTTGAATTTTGACGCTGGGCCTATGTGCAATTTCCAAGCATCTTCGCAGGTTTTAAATTCAATCTACCCCACAAAGGCCTACCATTTCTTAAAGTAGACACCCCAGGGTGTTTCAAAATGTATAGTTTGAACCTTAGCGTGGGATCATTTTTCCGCTAGCTTGTACCAGATGTAGTGGTAATAAGCGTTTTTTCTGCCTTTTTGACATACAAAGTGAGTTTGCACAGTATATTTTGCAAACCTTATGTGTGCTACGACTGTATAATACTTCATATGTTGCTCAGCTATGTCGGCTGAGTACAGCAATACCCCCGTATGTACCTTTGCCAGGTATGTGTGGACATCGGAGGGGCACATTTGGGACACAGCCATTCCAGTTTTTTTCAAACTTTGAATTTTTATGCTGTGCCTATGTCCCATTTTAGAGTATTTTACCAGGCTATATAATCCAAATTCCCCATAAAGCCATACCATTTCTTAAAGAAGACATCCCAGGGTATTTCAAAAGGCATATTTTGAACCTTAGTGTGGGATCATTTTTCCGCTAGCTTGTACCAAGTGTAGTGGTAATAAGCATTTTTTCTGCCTTTTTGACATACAAAGTGAGTTTGCGCAGCATATTTTGCAAACCTTATGTGTACTATGACTGTATAATACTTCATATGTTGCTCAGCTATGTCGGCTGAGTACAGCAATACCCCCGTATGTACCTTTGCCAGGTATATGTGGATGTTGAAGGGGCGCATTTGAGACGCAGCCATTCAGTTTTTTTCTAACTTTGAAGTTTTACGCTGTGTCCATGTTCCAATTTGGAATAGTTTAGACGGTTGGTTATTGAAACTTCCCCACAAACACATACTATTTATTAAAGAATACACCCTGGGGTAATTCAAAAGGCATATTTTGAACCTTGGCGTGGGATAATTTTTTCTCTAGTTTGTTCCAGGTGTAGTGGTAATGAGCGTTTTTAAAATGTATTTTTTTACTTTTTATAACTTTTTTACTTTTAAAAACTAGTTTTTAAACTTTTGTTTTGCTTATAAATTTTTTTTAAACTTTCCTAAACTTTCTTAAAACTTTTTTACAGATTTAACATTTTTCTAAGCTATTTTTTTTACTGTTAACCCCTAACTAGCAGTACGCAGCACTAACAGTAAATTCCCCATTTTCCCATAACTCCCACCCACCCCAGCTAGCAAAATATATAGTTATAAAATATTTAAATTAATTAATTAAATAAATTGAACCCCTGAGGGTTAAAAAAATAAATAAAAGTTAATCCTCAGGGGTTAAAAAAAATTAGATCACAGTATAATACTGTGATCTCTATTTGATCGCTGTAGGCAGTGATCGACTGGCAGGGAAGGGGTTAATTTTTATTTGGACTAGGTAAAGTGTGTTTTTTTGTTTTTATTACTTAAATGTTATTAAAACATTTTTTTAAGCTTAATTTTTAACTTTTTAAAGTTTCTTTTAAAACTTTTTTTTAACGTTAACCCCTAGTTAGCCTAACGTCAAATCCCCCAATTCCCCACTAACTTCCACCTACCCCAGCTATCTAAATATATAATTTAAAAATAATTTAATTAATTAATTTAATTAATTTAACCCCTGAGGGTTAAAAAAAAAAAGAATTAACCCTCAGGGGTTAAAAAAAAAAATCAGATCATAGTAAAATGTAATCCCTGCCAATTGATCACTGTAGTCAGTGATCAATTGGCAGGGAAGGGGTTAATTTTTTATTAAAATGGGTAAGGGGGGGGACACTTTAAATAAACTTTATTTTTTTTAACAGCAGGGGGCAGGATCAGCACTGATCCGGCTCCCTGCACTTCACACAGAACCCGGAAGTGCAGGGAGCCGGTAGGTGAGTATACAGAGCACATGTGCTCGCTCAGACTTGCGGTCAGAGCGAGCACATGTGCTGGGCAGCCTGACCGGGTGCTCCCGGTATGCCTCTAATGCAGAGGCATACCGGGAGCACCATTAACCCCGCGATCGCCGCGATAGCGGCGATCCGGGGTTAATTTTACCGCGTGACGGACGAGGTCCGTCACCCGTCGTTAAGGGTCTCCCCTGCGTGACGGACCTCGTCCGTCACCCGTCCTGAAGGGGATATTGTTCATTTTAACCCTGTAAATTTCAGTAGAGCCAGCAGCACTCAGTTATACTTGCCTGGTATAAATACAAACCAGAATAATAATCTAAACTGCATACATTTCTATTACTAAACTTTGTGCTAAAGGTCTCTAAAGACTTCAAAAAGTAACAGAACTGCACTTTATTTATAAACCGTGGTCATATGTCACCTCACTGTGTCTTACAGTGCATTCAGAAAATATTTAGACCCCTTCATTTATTTTATATTGCAGCATTACTTTATTAAATCTACACTCAATACTCTATATTGACCAAAGACAGTTTCTTTTTTTTTGTTGTCAATTTTACAGACTTATTAAAAAGAAAATTGCTAAAGTATCTGCTGTTTACTAATTTCTTTTTGAGCCGTACCTTTTTTTTTTATTATTGTAATTTAACAGGCAAAGCATATGCTTATCAATATGCATCCATTCACCAGCTGCTGAATGCCTTGTGCAGCATCCCATAACGCCGACCACTCGAGGCAGATGTATTATGCCATTCTTAGGATTGTGTGGGTAGATACCAATATGACTTCTACTTTTTCTTGGTCCATATTAGAATATTCAAGGAAGTGATCGTCTAAATCTACTAGTAGTTTATATGCAGTATTTATTGCAGCAGTGCATGGATACATTTAATTTTGTAGCAGTTATTGCCCCACTCTCCCGATTTTTTTAGAATGGGTAAGACAACAAACTGTTCAAAGATAGTTTGACTACTTAATGGGCATGTCTGACACCAACACAACTACAGCTTAACATAGTGTGCTTATGGTTCATAGTGACTATTATTGTAGTCACAGCAGTGTAAACCCTGCCTTTTCTATGAAACACTGCGGGAACCATAACTTGATTAAATTTAAATTATGATACCAGGATGTTCCAAGTGCTTTCATAGCTGAAGGGGTAAACCATTCTCGAAACCGTTTAATACCATAGGTTCCCTATGCATATTTATTTTTAATTGTTTAGTAAAATCGTGGCGGTAAATTTATTCTAATTGCACAAACGTGTATTAGGTTTCCAAATTGGATGAAGTAGTGGTTTTAAGATTTCAAGAATTATAGATGCAGCACACCTTATAGTTGGACTATCCAAGTGCAACTAATCAGAAACCAATGTAACACTTACTAGTGATGACTCAGATATGTTTACAAGAACATCAGTAACTCGTTGTTTATTTATATGTATGTATTTCCAAGTTGGTAGGTTTGTTGGTTTTTAACTTATTTTAACCAAACAGAATTCAATGTGATATGGGGTAAAGTGTGCATTGCCAATGTATTCCCTTTCCTTTTGTCTCCTTACACAATCATTCTACTTACTAGAAAGCCAATGCTCCACATAGGTGTACTTTTTCAATCTCCTTTAAAGCTGCTCAATGTTCATTTGTGATATGGATAGAGGGCAGCAATGTGAGAAACCTCACACCTTTTGTAATAAGAGAGGACAAGATGCAGAGAGGCCAGTTGGCCATGATTTTGTTATATTTTGTTTATTTTTTGTCTAAAACTTCCATGTATACTTTGTACAGTATATCGTAGTTTTATTTTCCAGCCATACATTGAATCTGATTTATGCTTATTTTAGGATCACACGGGACCAGAAAAGTGAGGCAAAGGCTGTATCAGACTCGATGAATTTCCTTCGACATGTCGGAGAAGTCAGGCCAGAGCACAAAGGCAAAGGATGGGAAAAAGTATGCTACCCTCAGCCTCTTTAATACATATAAGGGAAAGTCTCTAGAAACACAAAAAACTACAGGTAAGTGCTTGAATTGCAACGTTTTGCATGTACGGAAACCTATTATTAACCTGTTATTTTGAATTCTACTTTGCAGCTAACCTACTTCAGCTTTTTTTTGCTGATTGATTCCCTTCATATAAACGTAAATATTTCATATTACTGAGGGTATAGTATCTTTGTTTGCGCAGCTTGTTATGAGCATCTAAATCTAGGATTATCCATTGGTAGCTGTATATTTTATTAATTTATTGTAAACTGGTCTAGTTTCGTTTGGACAAGGAGTGATCTGTATTTAGTTTTCTCCTTAATAGTGTCAGCTATTTTTTTTTTTGTCGGAATATCTGCTTAAGTTATTACTTGGAATTGCTTACTTAACAGTGGACGTTATATAATCATATATGAAATTTTATGGCTAAGCTTTGCGGTTTACTTATGTTTCGGAGTTATACCTGAAGCATATATATCTATCTCATTCATTACAAATAAAAACACTTGTAAAGGCACAGCTGAACACCTGTGTCTAGTTGCTGTTGGATACCAGGCCCGGAGGGATATATACACCCAAGGGAAGCAATTAAAGCCCAAGTTCTTAAAACTAAACAAAAGTTTGTGAAGGCAATTTGTTGTCAGTGACTTAGTACAAAAATTAGTTTTCCTATTTCTTTCTTTATTTTCTTCAAGGCCCGCTACATACTGTTGAACGCAATTTCTAAATTTAAGCTGTCATGACATGTCCCCTTTAATAGTTATCGGCCGATATTTGTTATTTTCAGGCAATATCCGTATTGACCAATAGATACCAATAATACATACCAGGACCACCAGTCCTGGGGAGGGGGGCGCAGTAAGCTGTGACTTGCCTTCCCAGCAGCTCCCCTGTCAAATCTTGCCAGTCCCGCGGCCGCAGTGTGTTACCACGGGTTTCCGTGGCAACACTCCGCGCGGCGCTAAGGTCCGCAAGATTTACACAGGGGAGCTGCTGGGAAGGTAAGTCACAGCTTGCTGCCGGCCCTCCCACTGCTCAGTACATACCACCAGACCACCAGGGACTGTCATATGCCCCCTCCCTGGCTAGTCACCTTGGGAGGGGGGCATTTTCATTTAGGGTGGAGGCCTACAGTAGGTCCCCCCTCATTGTCATGGAAATCCCCACCAGCGGTTTAGGGGTGGGGGAGGACAATAGGTCGTAGACTCCCCTCATTGTCATTTATGGCCCCCACCCGCCGCTCGGGGGGAGGACAATAGGTCGTTCCTCTCCCTCCCCCCATTATCCTTTAGGGCCTCCGCCTTCCGCTCGTAGGTGGGGGTGGGAGGGGGGGTACACTAGGGTGTTTTTTCTCTTTCCTTTTTTTCCCAAGTAGACATGCCCTTACTCACGGCATAACGAATAGAGGCATTCGGGAGATTTTAATCTCCCTTATGCTATTATGTGGGGGTCATATAGAGTGAGGGAGGATATGGGAGCTTAGGAAGTGGCAAGGAGCACTTCTCCCTGCCGCTTCTATTTTTCCATAGCTGGTAGCTCCCTCCTTGTAACAAACTGAACAAACGAACACTGGTATTCAGTGTTTGTTCGGCTGACATTTCTATTTATTCCTCTGTCTTTCTGACGAATGAATGGATGAAATTCCTGTTCAGTGTTTAACTGGGCATGTGCGGGAATTTCACACGTGTCCCACAGGTACTTCATCTACCCACACAAACATAGGTCCGGGGACAAAAGAAAGATTAAAAAAAAAAAAGGTAATATGGGGGGCTTAGGGGCATTTGGGGGGTGGCTAGGGGGTCAGATGTAGTGGAATCGGGAGGGAGGTTAAAAGGGAAAAAAAATGGGATTTTTAACATAGAACAGGTAGGAAATATATAATCAACCTTGACTGGTGCATTCTGTTTTGAGATATGTAGAGAGGGATCTCTTAAAGGATTTTAGGCCTGGGGAAGATTTGAAGGTGTGTGGGAGGTCGTTCCATAATTGCAACTCTCTGTAGGAAAAGGAGGATCGAGTGGCTTTCTTTTTGTATTGAGGTAGACTAAAGTGCTGGTACTGGATCAGAGGTTATAGGAGGTGGTACGGTGGGAGTTTCCCAGAAAAGCTCTTAAACACCGGGCTGGAAAGATGAAGGGTGCGTCTGGATTCCAGCGATAGCCAGTTTAGTTCTTTTAGCATGTCACAATGGTGGGTCATGTAATTACATTATAGGACAAAGTGGCAGAACAAGTTATGCAATGTATTAAGCTTATTTAGGTGGGTATGGTGTGCAGGTGCGCATATACTACATCCCCATAATCAATGATTGGCATCAGCATTTGCTGTACAAGCTTTTCCTTTACTGTAGGGCTTAGGCAGGATTTGTTTCTGTACAGGGCACTTGGTTTTGGATAGAGTTTAGATTCAAGTTTTTCTATGTGGAGGCCAAAAGATAGATTGGGATCTAACAACGTACCCAAGTATCTGAAAGCGTGGACTGCGTTCAGTGTGCTATTGGATTTTGTTTCAATGGATAGGAATTGTGTAATTTGTGTAATTGTGACCGTTTTGTCAGTGTTTAGGAAGAGTTTTTTTGCAATCAACTTTTCCACCTCTGTAAACTGATCTTGGAGCACAACCTCGAGCTGTGATTGATTTGGATTTGTTTGCATAGATTGTCGTCTGCTTACATGTGTACATATGAGGATTTGCAGACTAAAATTAGGCAGATCATTTATAAATAATGTGAATAGTTGGGAGCCAAGAATGGAACCTTGGAACACCACACGTGTCTGGGAGAGGGAGGGAGTCGCTGTAAAAAATGGTCACACATTGTGAGCGATCCAATACTACATATGATCGAAACCAGGTTAATGGACAATTACCAATACCTGAGTTTTTTTTGTGCAGTAGAATGTCGTGGTGTACTGTGTCAATGGCCTTTGCAAAATCAAGGAAAATAGCTCCAGTTATGTCTCCTTGTTACATGCCAGTTTGGATGTCAATGTAAACTTTTAAGAGGTCAGTTGTAGTAGAGTGATTCAGGTGAAAACCCGATTGACCAGGGGTCAGCTAGTTTGTTGATAATACTCACATAGTTGCATATGGATGCATTTTTCTAAGATTTTTAATGATATTGGTCGATAGTTAGAAACCAAAGTAGTGTCACTCTTTTATGGATAGACGCTACTCTCGCAGTCTTCCAAAGTTTGGATATGTATCCAGACACCAAAGATTTGTTAATTAGGGTTGTGACAGGTTTAGCAATTGCTGGAATTTGATCAGGTCCAGTCTGTTTTTTCATTTTTAGGTTAAGGTGTTTCTTAATGACCCTAATAGGTGCAGGTCTAAAATTGAACTTGTGTATATTGGGTCTTTGCAAACTTCGTGGGGCCTGATCCACATTTGTAGTTTCAGGATATCATTTATTAGCTTGGCATTTAGAGTAATGGCCCTTCTGACAAAATAATTGTAAAGTCATTTGTTACATCTAAGGGACGTTGCAGGGTGTAGTTATCAACTTTGACAGTGGAGGGTTGGGAGTGGATTGGGGGAGTTTGTAACTTATTTGACTCTCCAAAAGTTTCTAGGGTTTGATAGGGTATTCAGATTTTAACAGAAATATTGAGCCTTGGGTTTTGTGCATATAATTTGCCGTTTTCTATATGCACAGTGTGAGCCAGTACGCTTGAACTTTGACCACAATGAATCCTGAAACTGGTACATTTGGATGAAGTCAGCTGTGATCCAGTTCATATGTGCCCCTTTTACTCAGCTTACGCAGTGCAGCACGCAAATTCCAAACTTGTAGGAGTTCAGACTGAAAGAATTCAACTGCACAGTCTAGATCTTGGATGATTTTTAAGCTGTGCCATGGGAGGTTCTTGATGTCCTTTAGAAAGGATTCAAAATTACTCTTTTTTTACTTTTTTTTTTTTTATTTTTTTTTTTTTTTGAGGTCCTGGTGATTTTAACATTGGGAGAGAATTTAGTAGCCTTTATTTTGCACACGCAGTACACTAAGCAGTAATCACTGAAACTTTTAGGGAGAACCCCTGCCTTCTGGATTCTATCAGGAGAAGTTGAGTGAATCCAATCGAGCATGGTATGGTTATGGCTTTTAATGTTTATGTGAGTTGGGGAGGAGATTAATTGCATTAGCTGCAAAGTCTTAAAGGACCACTATAGTGCCAGGAAAACACTTGTTTTCCTGGCACTATAGTGACCAGAGGGTGCCCCCACCCTCAGGGTCCCCCTCCCGCCCGGCTCTGGAAGGGGGAAAGGGGTAAAAACTTACCTTTTACCAGCGCTGGGCGGAGAGCTCTCCTCCTCCGTTCCGCCCCGTCGGCTGAATGCGCACGCGCGGCAAGAGCTGCGCGCGCATTCAGCCGGTCGCATAGGAAAGCATTTACAATGCTTTCCTATGGACGCTGGCGTGCTCTCACTGTGAAAATCACAGTGAGAAGCACGCAAGCGCCTCTAGTGGCTGTCAATGAGACAGCCACTAGAGGCTTTGGGGGAAGGCTTAACCCATTAATAAACATAGCAGTTTCTCTGGAAAAAAAAATGGGTTAACCCTAGAAGGACCTGGCACCCAGACCACTTCATTAAGCTGAAGTGGTCTGGGTGCCTAGAGTGGTCCTTTAAACAGCGAGCAAGTACTATTCTTTTTCAGAGTCAGCCAATCAATAATAAAATATCTAAAGACCAACAGTTCACTTTTTGGGTTTTGAGCTATGGCTTCAGTAAGGAAATGGGCTATATCAGAAAGGGAATGCACTGGGGAACTTGGTGGGCGGTAGATTCCTGCAACAATGATTGATTTACTGCACAGGATCTCAATTGTGCCAGAAAGGAAATCAAAGTGGCAAGAGGGCTAAAGTTTTGGAAGAGGGTAGACTTTATGGAATTGTCAACATAAATGACAATGCCACCTCCTCTTTTTGCTCTGTCATTTCTATGGCATGGATACCCATGTATTGCAATGGCAGTCAGGAATTTTTGCGGTTAGCCTCGATTCAGAGCACAATGATTTTGGGCTTGTAATGTGAATACCATGCTTGCAGTGCATCGATTTTTGGTAGTAAGCTGCGGATATTACAGTGCACAAAAGAGGTGTGTGGTTTTTTTTTTTTGTTGTTTTTTAGCTGGAAGGCTAGAAATGGAATCTGTTGTGTCCTCTTTGGTAAACTCATAGGATTCAGGACACTTATTGGAAGTTGGCACACAGATGGAATGTGGCCTGTGCTTCCTATGGTCGTATGCTCCCCAGTGACTTAACTAGGGAATTTTACTCCACCTAGGGATAGTCAATTGGCTATAAAGTTTGACATATGAGATGGGAGGGATTGGATAAATAGCAGGCTGCACTAATGAATCAAGTTTGTCATATTAAGGGCAAAAATACATAGAATGATAATGCATTGTGAGGGTTCCTAATACATAGGGTGCCGGGGTGAGACAGTCACTGTTGCAGGAGTTAATTGAGATCAGAGATTACCTGTGGATGAGAGCAGAGGGATGCCAGATTAGTTTACATTAGTCCAGGTGAGTGAAAGAATTGAAGATGCTGAGTTAGTTCCCTTGGTAAACTCCTAGGATACAGGACACTTATTGGAAGTTGGTACTGGATGGATAGTGGCACACAGATGGAATGTGGTCAGTGCTCCCTACGGTCATATGCTCCCCAGTTTGGCATATATTGTATTTGGAAAAGTGCATGGATATTTTTGATCCCTTTTCTGAGTCTTTAACTTGACTTTCTCAACAACAAACCTCTTCTCTTGCTAAACCATTTTATTTTTTTAAAACAAATTTCAAGCTAATTTTCTTGCAGCACCTCCAGTTCTCTTTCTGTGTGTGTTATGAGATCCTTGACCTTGATGGAAATAGTATGAAAAGATAACTGCAAATGATATATTGGTGGTCAGTGGCAGATCTTACAGCTATCTGAGGAGTGGCCAGTGAAGTTATCACTAGGCTGTAATGTAAACACTGCATTTTCTCTGGAAAGACCGTCTACAGCAAAAACACAAATAGGCTGTAGTTGTTCTGGTGACTATAGTGTCCCTTTAATAGTAATGTGTGCTTGCATGTTGTGTATTTTCTCTTGAGAAATAATGGTGAGAAATCTGCTTCCATTCTTCTTTGAATGAGATGCTTTGACTGCATTGCTTACATTCTGGTACTATCCATTCACTTGCAAATGCAAATACTCTGAATTTGGTTAATTAGGGTGATATGCTACTATTGACTGTAAAAAACTAAAAACTTTGTGCAATAATAAATATCTTTATAGCAGCATAGTTGCACATTCTATGCTTGTAATGTCTGTGTAAAAATCTAAGAATTTAGAGAAATAAAACATTACCGATGGTTTTGAGTGGCCTTCCATTGTAAATACATAATTAGTTGGATTTTTTTTTTTTTTCATTCTGCAGTCGCTGCACGCCATGGACTCCAAAGCTTGGGAAAAGTTGCTGTTTCTCGGCGTATGCCACCACCTGCAAACCTGCCCAGTCTGAAAGCTGAAAATAAAGGCAATGACCCCAATGTGAATATAGTGCCGAAGGATGGCACAGGATGGGCATCTAAGCAAGATCAATCTGAAGAAGAGAAGTACGTATATCTGTTGGCTCTGTCACACCCACTCAATTAATTAAGAATTTTGTAATGCTAAAATCTTAATCATTGAGATTCCAATACATTTTAAAGACCTAAGACAAGGTAGGAACTTTGTCTTATGGTAAATGCATATGTTGACAAAAGGCAGTGCTACTGCCAGCGAGTTTTTTCAGTTATCATATTTGTAGTTTAGACAATGTTTTGTAGACTAACAACATAAATTAAGTTTCTAATCTCTAAATTGCTAGATTACTACTCCGCCATATTTGGATAACCAGCCCTTTCTTTTTATGAACATGCTGATCGGATTAATGTTGACTTATATTATCATGACAAGCTTAATGCTTTTGGGGGTTATTTTTATTTATTTTTTATTTTTTTGGTAGGGTGTTCACGCTAAGAATTGTAACTGTATTTTAGTTGTGGTCTTAAGTTTTTTTTTATTTTTTTTATTCTGTTTTTAAAGAACACCAGAAGTGCCACCTCCACCACCAAAACCAGTTGTTCCACCGCCAACAGAGGTCCCTGTTGCCAAGTCATGGGCCAGTACAAAGCCAGGCGGTCAAGCAGATGGTAAGAGTGTGTGTTGCTTGGTTTTTTTTTTTTGGTTGTTTTTTGTTTTTGTTTTTTTTGGGAGGGGGGGGTTGTTCTTTTAACATCATGGCATCTTTAAAAAAATTAATTGATCCTTTAGAAACCATTTGGGTTTTTTCCCCCACTATTTACAGAGTTTCATTTTAGAATATCAATATCTAAATAAAACTCTTTAAAACCGTAACAGAAATATTTAATGTGGAATGTGGCAGTGTTTTCTTAGATGAGAACCCTCGTTTATTTGTGAATAAGCTGGCTAGCCTCCAGTCCTTAGTCACTGAAAAACAAATCTTTTGGAACTCTAACAATATTTCTGGTTGATGCTTCTCTCATTTCAATTACCCTGCTTAGTGCCCTCGCCTCCATAGCACTGCTCACACACTCTCCTTTTACTGTTCTGTTCTTCCATACACCACTTTTGCTAGCTTATTTTGAGACCGGCCTCTAACCCGTCAATCCCTCCTCCCCTCTGACAGGCTGTTATTCCTCGTAGTTTGTAAGCTCATTTTAAGCAAAGCATTGTAACCTCTTGTACATTATCCACATTCTATAATTGTAAAACACTGCAGCATATGTTGGTGCAATAGTAATATCTGCAGTGTCATACACATTAACAGAAATTTTTAGTAGAGTAGCTATGGGTTAGATTATTCTTAAGCGTTTTGGAGGTTTGTGTTATGGATTAGACTTGGAGCTATGGATGTTGGTTTGGGTTGAATCTTTAAGGGGGTAGGGATTTTCACTCTGTTTTCTATGTTTTTATTAGCAGTTAGGCTGCAATAACTTCAGCTGTGTGGAGAGAGGTAATTGAGGTTCATAGCACATTGAGTATGTTGGGTCACTAGGTGTTAATCATACGTGCTAGATGCTGTGGGGACTGCAAGTTAGTTTTGCAGTCCACAGTATATGTAAAACTTTTTTCTTAGTGCTGTGGGTAGAACACAAACCCTAATGTGCACTAATGTTCGTGCAGGCTCATTCAAAGTGGCACTTAGTGGGGATTTGAGCTTTCAGAGTTTATTGGACCTTTGGAATGTAATGAAATATGATATTGAAATTCAAAAGGTGCAATCATTGCCAGCTATGTATGCATGCATTAATGTTAATATAACTTTTTTTTATATTTGTGAATGAAGGTATTCCGGTAAACCGTTACTTTCAGCAAGAGTTTCCCAGTCTGCAGGCAGCTGGGGACCAGGAGAAGACAAAAGAGAAGGATGCAGTGGATGACAGCCATGGACCTGGACTCAGCTTGCGCCCTCAAAGTGCGTCTGCATTTAATTTTATTGGTTCTGTTTGGAGGATGTCACACTTGTTCTCTAAGCCAGGCGTGCTTGGAGAATAAGATACAAGAATAAGACATAAGTACAGTAATTAAAAGATAAGTCAGAAGCAACCAGGAATTCACAACCCACATTTTTCTGGTTGTACCAAGAATATGGTGTTCTGTTCAGTTGTGGCCATTCAGGTAGACATGAAGCCCCTCTGTGTAAACAGAATATAACCTCTATTGTACAGTCAAGAATCAATGTCACAGCAGTGCCAAAAACATGATTGTTTTGAAAATGGCCTTATACCTCTTTGTAAATTGGGGCCCCACTCTTTCCAATAAGTAGCTTTACAAAATTATATTCATAAAAATATCAGGAAGTATTTCTTTGAGAGGGTAGTGGATGCATGGAATAACCTTCCAGCTGAAGTGGTAGAGGCTAACACTGTAAAGGAGTTTAAGCATGCGTGGTATAGGCATAAGGCTATCATAACTATAAGATAAGGCCAGGGACTAATGAAAGTATTTAGAAAATTGGGCAGACTAGATGGGCCGAATGGTTCTGATCTGCCGTCACATTCTGTTTCTATGCTTATTTATGTTCTGGTGACTATAGTGTCCCTTTAAGTAAATGTTATATTACCCAATGCTGTGGCTAAGAATCAAAGGCAATTTACAATGTGGCAATTTCCTTTTTAAAATTTAATGCTAGTCTAGCTGTTTGCTATTTTTGATTTAAATCTGGAGTAGAGTGTTCCTTATCGAAAAGGGTAGATAATTATCCCATGAATGCCTATTGTTTAAATTGTCCACAATACACAAATCAGGAAGTGGTTGAATCTACTAAACTTTATCCTGTCCGTGCTTTAAGAGGTTGTGATGTCATTGTCTGATTTGAGTTAAATCCGTTCACTTTTTAAAATATAATACACATGTGAGTAGATGACTTGTGTTCCTTTAATGAGTTCTGATAAATTCTCTTTACAGCTGATGTGGCCAGCTGGCGGGAAGGTGGAGGAAGAAACCTTGGTACTCCTTTGACTCCCTCTGAACAAGAGAATGGAACTTCAGTTATAGAAGATGCTGATCCGGGAAAGTCCGGTGATAAAAGAGAAAACAGGCCAAGTCATGGCACAGCTCCTCAGCTTAAATTAAATGGGCAACAGCCTGGTTTACCCCCTCAGTACAGAGGGATAATACCAAATTTAGCTGGAAATGTAAGTTTAACGAGTGAGGTAATTTGATGTTGTCATTAGTACATTTGGTGAATGGTATAGAATCTTGCCTGCTGCTTTACAATCTGTGATTTTTGTGAAGTCATATGCATTTTATTGAGTTTGTTTAAATTAAAAAAAAAAAAAATGTTGTACCCCTGCATGAAGTGTGTGTATATATTGAGGCTCAATTTCCTGTAGCCATTGGAAATAGAACATCAGCCCTGGCAAGTGTCATGAGCCCTCTGCTGTGTGTGAGGATACTCCTGGTGGCAGCAACTTTATTAAAGTGGTTCTGCCACTTTTTAAGCTTTTCATAACAGAATCTTTATGAAAAGCTCTTTTTGACCGTGTTGAAATTTCTTCAAACTTCCATAACAATCAAGATACAGGAGACAAAGTAGAGGGACTACTTTGTCTTGTATGATTGGCAAAAGCATTTCTGCCACTATATCCATTCAGTAGTTGGTTGCAATTGGTGTGGAAAAGAGCATAATGGGTAACATTTTCTATGGAAGATCTTACGATCTTGCAGTATCTTCCATAGACACAGTTTTACTCTTGCTCAAGAGTAAAATGACCACAGCTCCTTGCAGATAAAATCTCCAGGAGCAGAATGATGGTGGTATTAAGATATGATTGGGTAACTATATCTCTGTCTCTACTTTCCACTCTGCCACCCCCACACAAATTGCATTTTCTGTGATAGTGTCTCTTTATCATTGGCTGCTCAGCTGATATTCACTATGATCATTCACCTTAAGATCAGCTACTACATGATCCTATTTTGGTTTTTTTCTTCATGTTTTATCACTTGTAAAGCAGTAAAGAGTTCAAATGTGAAATCCACAGGCAGCTGCGCAAGGCATACTGCACCCACCTAGAATACTTACAGGCTTGGAATTGTTGGATGCAAATTGTCATCCGTGAGCATAAAGGCGTTATGTGCTGTTTTCCTGTCCGTTCTCCGTGGTCACATGACAGGTGGAGGTTTGCAGTGACAGTTATCTTATAGACATGGCAGATAGTGTTGGGCATGAAATATAATGGCCAGTCAGTATGAAATGTTTATTTGTTTGTAATAAAACTGATCAGTTTTACTGGGAAAGGTTAGTTTTACTATGAACTTTGCCCAAATTTTTCCATATCGTTCCTTCTCTGTAAATTTTAAGTAACTTTAAATTAGCAAATAGTCTCATTCTTGACAATCTGAAAATACGAGAGAGATGGAACATGGAACAAGCTGTAATGTTTAAAATAGTTAAAATTCTTTTTATTCTTTTTAAACCAGAAATGTAACCAATTTGTCATGTTTATTCTTTATGGTAGTCTTGCATTTAAATATTAACTAACCATCTTGGCATAGTAACACTGGAAAAAATAGTGCTGCTTTTCATAGCATGGTGTTTTCAACCTCTTCATAGTTAAAAGAAAATGGGACTGCGTCACACAATAAGATTTTAATTCACTACAGAAAAAAGTTTCAAGTGTCCTTGCAAGAATAATTCACACTGTATAGGCAAGTCATGGGGCTACAAGACCACTTCTGTTGTTCCTTGCTTTGACTTGGTCATTGGAAAATCTTTGACTATGCAAACTATTCATTATTAGGGCAGGAAAAGGACTGTTATGGTATGTAGATAGAGTATAAATGATTAAGGAACTAAATAAATAAAGCAGGTAGACAATACATGAACATTCTAATCACATACAGTACTGTCTTTCCACAGATGTTCCCTGCCTACCCAAGACTGCCGTTTCCCCCTCTTCAGCAGCCAACCAGATATCCTGCCCCTGCAGAATCCAACAGGTAGAAAGGACCTTGAAAATTCCTTTTGGCTCTAGATGATTAAGCTGGTTTGCATTGCTTATTTTTCAGGTTTTTATTTTTTTGCAGAAACAGCAATTTTTTCTTTGCCTGGTTAACTTTTCTTTAGTGATAGTCATGTTAAACGCAGGAGCAGTACTCTCTGCACCAGCATTAACCACTTTGCACCAGAGTTTTTCTTTTGTACTTTATGCTAAAGGACATGCAAAAACATCTTGAGCATGACCGTGTTCCTTCTGAAATTTGAGGCTTCGTCTGTCCACTTAGATATATTCTACTACCATGCCCAGGAACAACTTGAACTAATGTAAAATAAAAACTAGAATTTTGCTTGCAATTTGATTATCACACTGTATAATGAATCTGCCTACTTTTTAAAGCTTCAATTGATAGAGCAATTTTTTCCAGGAATGCCAGAACAAGACCACCACAGTCATGGGTTACTGCAGGTGTTGAACGTCCTAGTATCATTAGTGCTAATGAGCTGAAAGAGCTGGACAGCTTAGACACCGAAGCAGATGAGGGCTGGGCAGGTAAGCATATATCCAGAAACTCTGTATATCCTGGCTGTACCTGGACCGAAAAGGACTGTATTGATAAACTGGTTTGCATTTGTTAATAATTGTTGATAAATGCAATTAGAACCAGGTTATCTCTTTTGTCATGTTTAACTACATTATGGTGCTGCTGCAACTGTAAACATGATGGTGAAAACTGAAGTATTATTTTATTATTTTTTTACTTTTATTTTCTTTGTCCTTTGCGAGGGACATGGTCCTGAGAATGAGTTTAAATGCAACACCTTAGAAATTGCAGCTTCTGAAACAGCATTGCTTCTGGGTGGCAATCAGATACACTAGTTATTTGCTTTCTGTTTAATTATCAGTATTGTCCCTCTTTGTTTTCAAATTTCTGCCAATTAAGTTAGTACTGTACAAGGAAGGATACATCTTTTCACATAATTATTAGATGTCATATGAGTGAGCAGATATATGCATAACAATATAGTTCCCGGAAATCCCCTGTTTCCACAATATGCTCCAGGTCGTTAGACACACATTTTGGAGTCCTGACTTACTGTACATGTTTTTGTTTTACTTTTTGAACACTCAAAGTACCATAACTGCTACAGTGTACTATAGTAGATATAGTACCACTCCTGGGTTTGTAGAGTGTACCTACTTCTTTCAGAAAGCAGATGGCTTTCTGCCTGAACCACTACAGCACATTACAAGGACATGCATAATTTTGAGTCAACTGTCTCATTCAAAAGCTTTCACTTTGACTGAGACAGTTGTCTCACTCTGTAGGCTGAAACAAATAGGTCAATATGGATATGCGTGGTTTTTTTTTTACCTGCTTCTTCTTTCTTGTACTTTCCACACCCACTCCAGAAGGGACGCTGATCAGTGTCCTATTCCTAGTATTACTGGAAAAGTGCATTGGGCACACCTTATAGATGTGCAGTTGTAAGAGCTCTTTACCTTGCAACATTCTGACAAGGGAAAAACGGGAGTCTGTGATTATGCAGAGCAGGCTTCGATTTTTATTTTTTATTTTTATTTTTTTATTTTTTTTTCCTCTCCTGCTACTGCACAATGATGCCCTGCTTCTGTCATTAGTGGACTTGTCTGAATCTAAAGTGGGTTGGGAGGGTGCTGAAGAAACTCTCCTAGTTGTGCCCAATAATGCATTCTGACATTTATAGTAAGTTTATAAAAACATTTATTAAATACTTTTCAAACTTTTCCTTGCTTTATTTAAGTTTGTATATTTGTTTAAATGTGTTTGCTGGTTTATTTTTTTTATTTTTTTCATATAAATTCTTTTATTCAATTTCTTACATAAATACAAATATCAGCACAACACCACAAATCACATAACATCTTTACACCATCAAAACATTCACAATAGACAAACAAATTACACTATTATCTGCGGGATCAGGCTAGTATAAGAATGTGTCTTAGCTCAGGACTCTTACTCTTCAAGCATTACCAGATCTAATGGGTATCTGTTTAATTTATATAGTAGGTTCTATTTTATTAACCCATCTTTGCCATAGATCCCTTCTTTTTGGGGAATTCAAATACGGTATACTTAGGTCTTTTTCCATCCTCATCTGAAGGATGATTTGATCTTTAATGGCATCCCAATAAACTGCTTGATTTGTGTTTGCTGGTTTAAAACATTGTCACCTGATTCATGTTTTCTTATTTGATCTCAATGTATGGTGTTTTTGTTCCTTCTACAATTTGTAGGAGCTCAAAGTGAAGTGGATTATACGGAACAGCTGAACTTCAGTGATGATGACGAACAGTCTTCCAGTCACAAAGATAAAACTGAGAGCTGGTAAATCTACCTTGCGTCTTTGGCTCTTTCCTAGCTATTTTGCCTACTTCCCTTTTAAAGTATGGCTGACCAGTTTTTGTGTTGTACATTGGCTCGCTCTAAGCAATACAACTCTGTAGAATTTCTGCACATAGGTACTGCCTCTTTTTTGATAACATTAGTTGAGTGTGCTAGGGCGGGTTAACATAATTCTCTTGGCAAATTGGCTCCATCCAGGTCTGCAGAAATTGACATGGATGGTGATACCTGATGTTGGGTAAGAGCCATGGTTGAACTCCAAACTATAAACAAGCTATTGTGGAGCCCTTTTAACAATAAGTAAACTGTTTAATTTGACTCTTAATTTTTTTTTTAATTTACTCCTACTTTACATAGGGGTGAAAGGATTGCCAAAACTGAGCAAATTCAAGAAAATACAAATGAAGACTCAGAAGGTCAAACCCGCAAAGAAACAGATGAGCGATTGGTCACTACTTCTCCTGCAGCTTTGGGTCCAAAAACACTACTAGGCAAAGCTCCTTCTCTTGATACCCAGGTTTGTTTGCTTACTAAGCAATATTTATAGTTATGTGCTTTGGGCCTTCATATAAGACATTAAGGCTTAGCGCACCACCTAGTACAGCAATGGTAAATGTTGGAATTACAAATCTTGCTATTCTTTTCAATGGTAACGTGCTACCTAATTATACCATGTGTCATTAAATACCATTTCACCAAACCTTTGATCAGATTTTTAGAATTAAGGCTCCTCTATAACACAATTTTATTTTTGTCATTTAAAGGAGCACTATAGAGCAAGGAAAACAAACTGTTTGTTAGGGTTATTGGTCCCACCCCCCCCCACCCCTCGGAGCCCACCTCCCGATGGGATGAAGGGGTTGTGCTGGTGTCCTCTCTTCCCCCTGCCGACGTCTGCTCCCGAGTGGAGCCGAATGCAGATGCACGGTCATAGGTGTGCACGCATTCAAACTGCCCATAGGAAAGCATTGCTCAGCATGGCTTGATTAGCCCTCAATGTAAACATAAACTGCAATGTTTTCAGCTGCAGGGTTAAAACTAGGTTGTCCTGGCACCCAGACCACTTCATTGAGCTAAAGTGGTCCTTTAAGTTTATGCTGTAATTGAAATTTCTGACTTTTTTTGTTTAGAATTCAGCAGATGACAGATTTGTCATTAATATTTTATTTCTTCTCTACCTCCAATAGGACAGGCGTCAAATGCCACCACCTCTCTTGGCTCTTGATAAAGGAATTCCACCCTTGCTGCATACGAAAAATGCACCTCCACAGGTTTGGTTATAGAATGCTCATCTGGGATTTTATTGTGCTTACATCTTCCTATCTGGGGAATTTTGTTGGGGAATAGACTCTTAATGGAACACTCCAAGCACCATAACCACTACAGCCAGAAATGGTTGCTAGAGTGTCAAACCGGAAAATCCATTAAAGCTCCAAAGAGCTAATTTTACATTTCTCTGTGAACATGCAACTAGTGGCAGTCAGACAGAATGACTCCTAGAGGCTCTACTTAAGACCTTAGAATTGTAATTATTTATTTTTTTTTAAGATTTTTACATCATCCTATTCCTCTGTGAGAAGGATTGGATACAGTGCTTCACTATGCCAAACAACCAATTGGCGGAATTTGGCAATTGTCATGGATACATCGTGGGCCTGCAATGCTTCTCCATGATAAGCCTTAGATTAGACCAATGATAATCAGTCCTGATAATTAGAGTAGTATCATCTACTGTGAGGGGAATGTCTCATTGCAGGGTTAGAGGTTAACGTAAGTTTCTTTTTTTTTTTTTTTTTCTCCCCAACAATTGAGGATCCAGTATCTTAAAATGCAAAACTCTTAACATCAAAAAATTATAAATTAAATCAGTCTGGTTCAGTATAGTCTTCGCTTAAAAACCTCATTGGATGATTTTCATTGAGCGTTAAATATAGTAAAACTAGCACCTATTATAAAATCCTCTTTAGATAAAGAAAAAAATAATGGGATAATGTATTGGCAATTAATGTGTGCAGTATAGTATTTGTATCTCTAAAGGGGCACGCACATGTGTAGGGTGCACTGTGTAGCCTTTTTTACAGTGAATTCTGCTGGGTCTGTTTAATCAAAACCAATGGCGTCTTTTTTTGTTTTGTTTGTTTTTTTTTGTTTTTGTTTTTTTAAATATTTATTTTCTTGGTTTTCCCCAGCACTCTACTCAAGGACGCCAAGTTGCTGCAAGTAGACCGGGTGCTTTACCATCACGCCCCAGTGAGGATGAAGTGTGGAAGCAAAGACGCAGTAGGCAGCCAGCAGAAGTTTCAGCTGCGGTGGAGAGAGCACGCAAGAGGCGCGAAGAAGAGGAACGCAGGATGGAAGAGCAGAGAAAAGCTGCATGTGCCGAGAAATTAAAGCGCTTGGAAGAAAAGCTTGCAGCTTCATCTGCATCTGCTGCATCTTCTGAGAAACCTTCATCTGAGAAACCTCCTGAGGAGAAAGCAACTCCTGAAGATTTACCTGCCGAATCTATGCCTGAAGAGGAGAAAGCTCCTAGTGAGAGTGAGGAACAGATAAAAGTAGAGCCTGACAGAATAGAGTCACCTGCACAACTAGAGGCTAAAGAAGAAGAAGAAGAAGCAGCTATTCATATTGAAGAACAATTACCTTCTCAAGACTGTGGAGGTGTCACTGTTTTGAAAGAGAAAGCATCAGATATAGGTATCTTTATCATTTGTCACTTAATCATGGATATTTTTTGTATTTTGACAGGATTATGTTGTTGCAAATGTTTTTACAAATATATTTTAAACCAATGGTGTTTATGATCAGTATTTTAAATTGTTTTTATTTTAATTTCACAGATGAAGGCCCACACTTTGACAGGCGAGAGAGCACTTCAAGTGAAACTGAGAGCGCAACAGTACCGATTCCGCTCCCAACCACTGTCTCTATCCTTCAGCCCCCTTCAATTCCTCCACCCACGACGCCTCTCCCACCCTCCGCTTCTCCAATACCAGCACCTGTGCTGACCCACGAGAATGAGTCGGACCCAGGTACCCAACAGCGTCCCTCAGTATCCTCTGGCTATTCAAAGCAGTTCCAGAAATCTCTGCCCCCAAGATTTCAGAGACAACAGGTAAATAAATTCAGTGTTCTAGCCTTTCTTAATTACTAAAATTCTCGATTCTCCTTATGAATTTTGTAGTCTTCCTCGTTTTTTTTTTTGTTTGTTTTTTTGTTCCGTAATAACCTCCTTTAAAACAAATGTTCAACATTGCACCACATATTTAAAATCAGGTTTTATAATTGATTTGTAGAAAAAATGTACTTAACTGAAATTGCTCCCATACACATTAAATACACCATATATCACAAAGATACATGGTGTATTAAATGTAAAATATAAATATTTACTCTCTTTTCTTCCAATCTAGCGCAACTTCATGCAATACCCACATTTTGGCCACCACCGCTCCACCTGGAGTCCTTTTTCATTTGTCAGCTTGGGATGAATCCCCAAGCAGTACAAATCTTGTCTGTGACTTGCAAAGTAGCCAGCATGCTGATGTGTGAACGGAGTTAGGTCACTCCATTGCCAGTGTACGAAGTTCCAGCTAGGGAATTTCCATAGCAACCACAGTGCATGCGCTGTGGTTGCTTTGGGTAAAGAGCAGAGGGACCTCCTGTGGGGGTCTTTTTTACTCTCCCTTGTAGGTCAATTGACTGACAGGTGGGAGAAAAAACTCTTTATTTAGGTTCTCTCCTAATTTATACATTTGCTAGGAAAACTGTTAGCACAATGTATAGATAAAATGTTATGCTCAATGAACAGAAGTTGTTTGGGGCATGGCAGGTTAATACCCTTTCATTCATGACAATACCATATAGGCCTTTATAACGGCTGGCTGGCATTGCACATTGTTGTCTAACAATTCCCTAGTGCTTCTCATTTATTTATTTTTTTCCCTTAGTGCAATAATTTGTAGAGTAAAATAAGTTTGACTTACTCTAAATTGATAATATTGCTTTTATATACATTCAATTTCATATGCCACTTGATTGATCAGAGCTACAATTTATCCATACCCATCTGTTGAGAATTAAGATCCTACTTACACCGGATTAACTAATGATGTTTTGTGTCATCTGCAAACCCTTACAGGTACATTTAACGCCAATTGCAAATTCATTAATAAAGAGAAGTTGACTATGCAACATATGTCCAACTTAATAAAGTTTTGACCATTGGATAATGTTGGACTATAGTTCTCATTATCTGAATTATACATGTAGAAAGCATTGTTTTCACTGCCATAGAAAGGCTGTGCTACCAAATAGTGTCATTCTATGTAATTTTGGGTTTATAAGTGATGCTTAATCACTGCTATAGTAAAACACTTGATAGATGAAGTAATGTGAAACTCAGTCCTGAATTCATACATTTTAGGAGCAGATGAAGCAGCAGCAGTGGCAACAGCAGCAGCAAGGAGTTATTTCTCAGAATACTCAGTCACAGCCATCTAGCAGTCCCGTACCACCTCCTCAACACAGGCCACTTTATCAGCCCTTGGGACCACATCCTCCACATTTAACTTCTATGGCCTTTGACCCTCGTTGGTTAATGATGCAACCTTACATGGATCCCCGTATGATGTCTGGACGTCCTGCAATGGATATTCCTCCAATTCACCCTGGTAAGCTAAAATCCATATTGGTTAGTTTAATTTTTGAGAAATGCAACTGTAAAAGTGTAATGTTATGTATTAGTCCTCATGTTTTTAAAACGTACCATATTTATTCACAGGAATGATAGCAACTAAGCCAATCATTAGACGTGAACCCACTGAGGGCCTGTCAGCTGCCTCTGAACCTTATGAGCACATAGCTCGGCCTGTTAGAGACCATGGCGTTCCACTCTCAGAACCCCGTATAATGTGGGGAGCCGAGCCTTATCCACATCAAGACACTCCGCAGGTTACAACAAAAGCACCAGAAGAAGCTGAAGATTACAGGTAGGCTACTCCCTAAACTGTTAAAATACAATTCTTGGGGGGAGGGGGCAGGACTCGGGAGATTACGTTGTTATAGTGCCTACAGTGTTACTTTTGCTGAAATTTGTCAATTGTGTGTTAACCCTCATGTGATTTACAGTGCATGTTTTACATAGTTCTATTTTCCCTTTATTTTAAGTTTTTGACATCTGTTGAGCACATTTTAAAAACTGTTTAGCTTCACTTTCAGTTAGTCAGTCTAAAAATAAGTTTTGGTTAATGTTATTTATTTTCTCTTTAAAGATCTGAAGGTCCTGTGGAGCAGGACGTTGTCTCTGAAACTTATGCGATAGAACATAACCAATTTGACCAACAACCCAAAACTGAATTTTACTCCAGACCTCGAGAGACAGAACTTCATAGTACACCAACCCGGCCACCAGAGCCTGCTCCACTAATTCAGCCTGAAGAGCAAGAAACAGCAGTTTCTAGGTTTGATCAGCCAGAAAAGCATGCCTGTTTAGAAGATAATACAACTCAGATTGACATGCAACCTGTCTTGACTAGAAGTCTTTCTACTGAGTCTTCACACACCATTAAACAGGAAGAAAGGAGGTCAGATGCAGTGCAGTTGAACTGTAAAGTTTCTATTAGGCCACCTGAACCAGCAAAAGAAATAGTGGAGGAAAAAGCAAGGAAGGACATTTTCCAGAATCCAAAGCCATCTGAGGTCTCTAAAATAGATAAGCCTTTTAAATCAAAATCTGAAACTAGGTGGGGTCCCAGGCATGGATCTAGAGGCAGAGATGAAGGCAGTGATAGACCTGTGAGAAGGTCTGGTCCAATTAAAAAACCTATTCTCAGGGACATGAAAGAGGAAAGGGAACTAAGGAGAGAAAAGGAAGAAGAAAGGTTTGGTCACGAGAAGCATATAAAATCAGAAAAAGTGGAAAGAAAATCTCCTCCAATTCTGCCTGTTCCTGGTCCTCCTGTATTGGTCAACAAGACTGAGCAAGATAAACTAATTCCAGAAGCTTTGGTACCTAAAATGTCACAAGCAACCACATTGCATTCAGAAAAATCTCCTGAAAGACCTGAGCCCATGCCACCACAACATGTAGTCCAACCAGCTACAGTCAATCAACCAAGTAAAGAGGACAAGATTATACGAATAGTCAACAAGGAACATCCTTCTGACAAACCCAAGCCAGATTTAAGGCCACCACTCTCCTCCCAGCCTCCACCTGGGACAGTACCTCATAGACGAGAGCCACTTTTACCCCCTAGGGCTTACAGAAAAGAAGCCAGAGACAGAGACTGGTTTCCTGATCAAGGATATAGAGGTAGAGGCCGTGGAGAATACTATTCCAGAGGAAGAAGTTATAGGGGTTCTTATGGTGGACGTGGACGAGGCGGCAGAGGGCAGAGTCGGGATTATCCACATTATAGAGACACCAAACCACGAACTGAGCAAGTTCCACCTGGAGCCATGAGACGTAGGGAAGAAAGTGAAACCCGCAGTGAGAGTTCAGATTTTGAGGTAGTACCAAAGAGGCGTAGACAACGTGGCTCTGAAACTGACTCAGATAGTGAAGGCAGAGAGAGTGCAAGCGACACCCCTCTATCTGACAAGGAGAGTTCCACCAGGAGTAAACCTCATAGAGATGAACGAGCAGAAGGAAAAAGGGCACCAAAGTCTGTTTCAGCAGTCAAGTCTGAGCCTGGGGTATCTAGGTCTGATGTTAAGATTCAAGAAAGGCCATTTTCAAGAGATGAGGACTCCAAAACAAAGCCTGGCTTCCTTCCTAAAGGTGAACCATCAAGAAGAGGCAGGGGTGCTGGTGGTTTCCGTCGTGGGGGTAGAGAACCTGGAATGCGTCCAACTCGACCCCCTCCGCCAAGGAGATCTGGATATCGTGATAATCAGTGGATTCCTAGACAACAGGAGTCTAGACCACACCTACCACCTAGAATGGATGAAGTGGAAAATAGACATAATCAGGATCACCAAGCTCTTCCTTCAGGAGAGAAGAGGCCTCCACTGAAATTTGAGAGGAAGTTTGATCCAGCTAGAGAAAGACCCAGAAGGCAAAGGCCTACTCGACCACCTAGACAAGATAAGCCTCCTAGGTTCAGGCGTTTAAAAGAACGAGAAAGAGAGGATGCTGGCAAGACATTAGAAGCTACCAGTGCCACCAGTCAAACAGTGCCTGCATCAAAAATAGTGCATGAGGTTCCTTCAGATTTTTCTGGTAATAAAACCCCAGATTTATCTAATCATAACTCCTCGGACCAGGCCAATGAGGAATGGGAAACTGCCTCAGAAAGCAGTGATTTCAACGAGAGAAGGGAAAGAGATGAGAGGAAAGCAGCCACATCCATGAATACCCAGTCTCCTGCACCAACAAAGATATCGGATGGTTTGGCCCAATCTCCACCTAAAAGAGAGAGTGCAAAAAGGAGCTTTTCAAGTCAGCGACCTGGCATGGATCGTCAGAACCGTCGTAATACTGGTGCTCCCAAACCTGGTAGACATTATTCGGGGCCCAGAGGTGATAGGCGAAGTGGAACTTCTTTACAGAGGGGGAAAAGAGGGTAAGTGCTTTTTAATACCTAAGCTTTGAATGCAAGATTTTCCAAATAGATTTCAAGGTTCATATGAACTTTTGCTACTCCTGTGACTTGGCTAATGGGGATGTGAGTCTATTTGTTAGTAGTTCAAACATATGCTGACAATCTTAGGCTTGGTGTTTTGCCACACATGCACACTAGCCTCTCAATGCTTTCCTATGGGAAAGGTTTGGATTGGCTGAGATCATAAAGACTGATAATCTCAGCCATGGTAATGGAGAAAAAGTAAGTAAAATCACCTTTTCAATGGAATCTGAGGGGGCCCAAGGACCTAAATAGCCACTCCAGGGCTATAGTGTTAAAATAGGAACACATTATATAGTGTTCCTTTAATTCTAACTTTAGTGTGCATTAGATTGCTAAGCTCTCCCTGTAAATTTATTTTGGTTGTTTTTTTGTTTTTTTTAAGTATAAATCGATGCAGCTACTTTTCTTTCATGTAGTTACTGAGCTGATTTCAGCTGCTGCGCAATTTTACTATATTTTTTTCCCCTATGTGAGCATGCTGGAAAATCTATACAAGCCAGATAGGTTAGACAGTAATTTTTCATACATGTTTACAGTAAAGTGCTGTAAGCTTATCTGGGCAACCAAGCGATTTCAAAGATGTGGTTTTTGGTAGCCTTGTGTTTTTCTTCTCTTTTAGTAGCTTTAATAATTGAATGCAGTTGAACTATAGCCACCTCTATTCGTGAAACAAGATGTTTTCTAGTTTGTCATAGCTAAATTTACAAAAGCTTGGATATATTTAAGTGTTCAGAATAATGTTTTAACCCCTTAAGGATGGCGGGCGTGCTGTTCCGTCCTTGGGGACCCGTCTCTAAACGCGGGCGGCATAGCACGTCCCCGCCGTCCTATGTACTTACCCGGTCACCGGCAATCGCAGTGGAGGTACTCACCTGGCATCCCAGGGAGTCTCCCTTCTGCCATTCCTGCCCTTCTGGGCCATGTGATCGTGAGGTCCTTGCAAGGACCTCACAATCACATGGACGGCATAGCCGTCCATAGCAGTGCCAGCAGGGGGATTGCCTGTAATTAGAGTCCCCCTGCCGCCTGTAAAATGTGGGGGAAAAAAAGTTAAACAGTTTAAAATAAAATTATATATACTTAGATCATATATATGACGATGTAATTGTGATACGTTTTACTGTTTTGAAACACTAATATTTGTGTTCATCGAAGTCTCCTGAGTATAACTGTACCTGTCATGTACTGGTTTTATGGGGTTTACAAAAGTTAGTCAAATATAAGGCTTGCGTTTCAATTTTTTTCACATTGAAGTAAGCCAGGTTGGTTACGTTGCTTTGAGACCGTATGATAGCCCAGGAATGAAAATTACCCCTATGATGGCATACCATTTGCAATAGTAGACAACCCAAGGTATTGCAAATGGGGTATGTCCAGTCTTTTTTTTTTTTTTTTCAGTTAGTCACAAACACTGGCCGAAATTTGGCATTCAAATTAGTTTTTTGCATTTTTCACCCACAAATATTAACACTAACTTTGGCCAGTGTTTGTGACCAAGTGGCTACTAAAAAAGACTGGACATACCCCATTTGCAATACCTTGGGTTGTCTACTTTTGTAAATGGTATGCCATCATGGAGGTAATTCTCATTACTAGTCTATCTTACGGTCTCAAAGGCAACGTAACCAAGCTGGCGAATTTCAATGTGAAAAAACGGAAAAATTTAACATGCTATATTTGACCCTGTAACTTCCCAAAACACCATAAAACCTGTACGTAAGGGGTACCGTTTTACACGTGAGACATCGCTGAATACAAATGTGTATTTTATTGGAGTGAAAGCAAACAGTTCTATGACATTCACAGTTAGAATGTCACATAGAACTAAAAAAAAAGTGTTTCAATTCTTTTCTCCCATTTTTTTAAAAAATATTTTCATGTTAAATTGTTTTATACCTAAATATTTGATGTTAAATGAAAACCCTGTTTCCCCTGAATAAAATGATATATAATAAGTGTGGGTGCACATAATATGAAAGAGGTGAATTATGCCTGACTAGACATATAGCGCAATTTTTTGTTTAAGTTTTGTTTTGATCACAACATGTACATTTGGCTCAGCCCTTAAGGGGTTAAAGTGACGTTCAGGTGACTGTTTTTTTTTTTTGTTTGTTTTTTGTTTATATGGCTCTAGCTTACATGTAATATACAAGTTTGTCTTTCTGGTGTTGCAGCCAAGAACATTAGACCCCTTGTTTTACCATATTATCTTATTGTAGCTCTGTATTTGAAAAGTTTCTTTTAAAGGAAAACTATAAGGTCAGTAATACAAATGTGTATTCCTAACCTTACAGCGTTAAAAATATTAAGGTGGCCGGTCCCCATTAAAGCTGTAAAAATCTGAGAGACCAACACTGCACTGGCAAATCAGTATTTCTTCATAGAGATGCATTGTGTTAAAGGGACACTGTAGGCACCCAGACCGGTTCAGCTAATTGAAGTGGTCTGGGTGCAGTGTCTTTTTTGCACCTAGTGCTGCAATGTTTACACCTAGTGCTGCAAGTCCACCTTCAGTGGCTGTCTATCACTACCACTAAGTCTGCTCTGAGTGGCTGTCTACCACTAGAGGGCTTTCTGACTCAAAACGGATTTTGGTCTGTTATCTGACGCTGGACGTCCTCACACTATGCATGAGGACCTCCAGCATCCGTCCCCCCAGATAGTGTCCCTTTAAACTAATACCGATAATTAGACATCAAATATTGATGACCTCAGAATGCAAACTATTCCATGGTTTCCAATGTGTTTAATGATAAAAGGTCAAAATCAAATGGAACTGTCTTAAAATTATGCGAAATAATCAACTAATGGCATATCTATAGCCAGTTGCATTTTCTGTATAGGACTGGTTGCCTAGCGTTTATATATGTTAATAAGGAAGCAAAACTATAATTTAACATTTTCACCAAATACCAATTTGAAATACCTTTTATTATAATCATTATTCATTATTTAAATATTTTCTAATGTAACTTTTGTTTACATTTTTAAATAGTCTATGTGTTCATCTCTTTTGGGAAAAATAGATTAAGATTATTTTCTTGCAGACAAATTGATGACCAAGCCCAAACTTCAGTACCTATGGACTCTAGTGCCAACAGTAATTCTCATCACTATCACTACCACTCTTACCAACACTCTGAAGATGTTGGGGGTGCCTCAGGCCAACAAAGGGGGGGATTCAAGGAATCAGCTGGCAGAAAGAAAGATGACCCTAAGACGGTTGTCAAGAAGACTAAAGAAAAAGTGGATGCCTTATCACAATTTGACCTCAACAACTATGCAAGTATGTTGCTTTGTAATATGTATCAAACATGACTTGATTAAAAAATTATGTAAATGCCACTGTTCATTTAGCTTTACAATCACATGCACTATATGGGTAATGCACACCTACTGTCCTGTTGTATCATAGTTTAAAACCTAAAAAGAGCACTCCAGAAACCATAACCACTACATCCCACTGTAGCTTTAATGGTGGCAGGAGTGCATTGTCTCTTTTCTAGAGTAAGTAGCCAGACCATTTAAAAACAGTTTGAAAGGTTAATTTGTGTGAAACAATCTGCACAGTTCTACTTCTAGCTCTATAATTGAACTAGAGCTCAAAATTTCCACTAGCTAGTGGCGTCTGAGAATTTAGCACTGGCAAGTAGAAATTAATCCCTGGTGTGTTTGCCATGGGCTCGGCAGGCTTCCAGTTGCTAATAACTTTTCTTAAAGGACCACTATAGTGCCAGGAAAACAAACTGTTTCCTGGCACTACGGTGCCCTGAGGGTGCCCCCACCCTCAGGGTCCCAATCCCGTGGCGCTGAAGGGAGAGGAAAGGGTTAATCCCTTACCTTTTTTCCAGCGCCAGGCTCCCTGAAACTGCTATGTTTACAGCAGAAACGGTTAAACCTAGATGGACCTGGCACCCAGACTACTTCATTAACAGAAGTGGTCTGGGTGTCTATAGTGGTCCTTTAAGGTGACAACCCTTCTCCAGAAAGTAAATGATCTGTGTAGTGACTGCCTAATTCCATTTCAGGTGTTGTGATTATTGATGACCATCCTGAAGTAACAACCCTTGAAGACTCACAGTCCAATCTCAATGATGGTTTCACAGAAGTGGTCTCTAAAAAGCAGCAGAAGCGCCTGCAAGACGAAGTGCGCAGAAAGAAAGAAGAGCAAACGGTACAGGTATAAACGAAGATTGGTGCTTGAACGTTCCAAGCAAAGTACCAATAACTGAAAAATTTAATTGGGGGGTGGGTGACACTCATTTTGGTTTTTGTTGAATTTGCAGTATTTTCATAGACCGTAATATACAAAAGTCACCCCTGGGGTATGGAAGCATTTGTGTAAAAAAGAAAATGTGCGTGACTTAGAGCTGCTTGGATCACTACAAGCTACAGTCCCCGCATCATCAGACAGATAAAAAAACGGGACTTTATGGTGTTGCATGTTTAATTGCATAGGTGACAACTGTGATCTGCCTTCTTTGGTTCAGGCTTTTTATAATTTGGATCAGTAACTTCAGTGCTTAAAAGGACACACTCTACGGCCTAAATGCGAAAAAAACTAGAATGCTATTTAATATATATACACACCAATGAAGACATCCATGCATTAACTTGTGCATTGGGGGTATATCTAAAACGGCTATCAAGTCTCAACTGCTGCTTCTGCAAGCCTACCCCTTCTGAGCACGCCTAGATTTTCTATAGCTGTCCAATCAGACTTTCTAATGCAGCTCAATGAGAAGTCTTTACTTGCCTGCCTTTTCAGTTTAGCTCCACCAAGCTAAACTACCAAAAAGTAACAGGGGCCCCCAAGGGGTGAAACAAGTTCAATTTAGAAAAGTGCCAGTCTGTACTGAAATCTGTGCTTATTGTAAAAGAAATAGAGGACACACTCATCACACATAAGCAAGCTAAAGTGCATAATGCATTTGGCGTTTTCCTTCAAGGCAATGCTTACTACATGTGCTGGTGAGTGATGTTTATTAACTAACCTGACTGTGAGCATGTTAGAAACTTTAGTTTTTTGTTTTTCAGGTCTGGAACAAAAAGGGGTCAGGTGAGAAAGGGAGAGGTCAGAATTCCAAGCTTCCTCCCAGATTTGTGAAGAAGCAGCAGCAGCAAGCAGCAGCACTGCAAGCACAGTCCTCTGTGATATCTACTCCACTGAATACTGCCCCGCCTACTGCATCTGCACCAGCTACAAATCAGTCTCCATCTGTACAATCCCAGACCTCTGCAAGCACGGCCACAAATGGCTCAGAATTTACTGGACCTGTCAAAGCTCCACTACCTTCACAGCCACCTAGCACTCTTGGTACAGAGTTGTGGGAAAATAAGATGGCTGCTACAAATGTTCCAAATGATATATCTAAGAAATGTATGTATCTAATTTAACCCTAGTTTAAAGAAAATCAAACTTGTGCATAAAACAGTTTGCAATGTGTAGCGTTCCTGAATAAGGAAAAAAAAAACATTAGAAGCAGTGCTAGAAATAGAAAGGACTTTGTCCTGTTTAGATAAAATAAGAACTGGGGGAAAAAGTATAATTAACATAACATTCCCCTGCCTCTTTCTATTTCAGTGGGTATAAGTCCTCCTCAACCACCATCCTCCAGTGCATGGAATAAACCTCTTACAGGATTTGTGCCAACTACAAGTGAGGTAATATATCGAAGACTTGCCACTACTACCCTCACATGGTTGTTTACCTAAAAGTGAATTTCAAATTTAAATTCTAACCGCAATGCTTTCAGTTCAACTGCTCTGCTCTTAGAAATTCAGTTAGAATTCACACTTTATTAAATAACCCTGTCAGATTTTGTTGGTAAAATTAGAGCAGATTGATCCAGATTTTTCTCTCTCTCTCTCTCTCTCTCCACATTAGTCTTCAAAGAATGGGCAAGATGCTACTGTAGACTTGGCTATGGAAGCTATACAGTTTGGAGCCCCGGTATCAAGCAGCAGTGACAATGAAGCTGCACCTTCTCTCTCAGAAAAAAACATGGATTCTTTTCCTGAACCCAAGGAACAGAGGCAGAAGCAGCCTCGTGCTGGTCCCATTAAAACCCAAAAGGTAATAAATGTGACCTACTTTAATTTATAGTTTCACAATGTTTCTTTCCTAGCTCAGTATCTCACTGTTCTGGAACTGCAATGCACATGATTTTGTGAGCGTCTTAAAGCTGTACTTCAGGCTTTCTATAATCTGGAATTCTCTGTTACATTGCTAGTTTGCTGTAACAAACTGCCAAACTGAACTACCGGACAGACATTTACGTGTGAACGTTTTAGGTTTACATAATTGGGTGTGTATAGTGTTTCTGATTGTGATTGTGCAGGGCTAAGCTTATAACAACCATTGATAACTTCTAATGCATTTTAAAAAAATGCTATGTTTAAAATTATAGGGTATACCAAAAGCATATGAGAACTGCACATTCATAGTTAAGTACATTTTGCTATTCAAGATGCACTACACTTCTTGCCAAACTAGACTTAACAATATAGAGAAGAGTTAGATTTAATGTTTTAACACTATGTATAAATTTAATAAGCATTTACTTGGCTATGAAGACATTGATCAGAAGATATTCCTGTTTCCAAAGATTCCAGATCTCAGTCTAATTCCAAGCAAAGAATATAAACCAGGGCCCATTGGTAAAGAGCGATCTTTAAAGAACCGTAAAGTAAAAGAGGTGCAGCAGGCAGAGCCAGAGATTCAGGAGAAACAGATTCCAGCAGCTGTACGAACTCCAGAACCTGCACCATCAAAGGAGGTTAAAGCAGTGGCAGAGGTGAACTCTGAAATCAGCAGCATGCTGTCAGTCTCTGCAGCGGAGTTTGGTGCTACAACAAAGGTAGATTTCCACAAAACCTTTAATGAACAAAATAAAAACAGCAAATATATAACTGGAACTGCTTTTCAACAACCTGACTTGACTCTTGTCATATTTGTTTGTCCCAGGAATCTGTAACTGATTATACCAGCCCATCCAGTGCCCTTCCAAATGCAGCATCTTCTGGCAGCAGTAAAATGGAATCTACTTTGGTTCCAAATGTAAGTTTGTTTTCTATTTCCTATTGCCTGTGTTTGAGTTACAAAACTCAAGAAAGGATCATTTGTTCTTACCAGAGCTTTGTTTAACGTTACCTGACACTAGACAGGAGGTTGCTTTTTCTACAAGTCCACACCCAGATGTATTGTCTGGGTTTTTAAGTACATCTACTGGTAGAAGAGTGAAAGATATGCTTACACCATGGAACTCCTTCCTTTGCCATTGATTTTTATTTATTTTTTGGTCATGTAAAGGGAAGATGGCAGGTATCTTTCAGGTTGCTATGGAACTAACTCATTCGATTATGCCAGTTTTCCTTTGGGGAAAAAAATGCAGTTACCTTTTTGAAATGTGATGCGTGAAACCTGCCTTTCAGGTACCTTTGCCCCATGCTCTACCCCTGCCCAGGCGGGAAACTCTTCAGCAGAGCTCAAGCCTAACTCCTGTGTCTCCTGCTACTGTTGACCTCACTCTTAAGGTATGTTCAGTGGCACATTTTAGGGGGTAGAGATAGGCAATGTTCATTATGTTTAAGAGTCAAATTAAAAATCATGTCCTGCACTAACAGGGATCAAAATTTCCACCCTCGACCAGATATTGTCGAGTAGAAATTCACCCCTGGTTAGTGTGCCATGTTTTAGGGCTGGCTAATAGTATAAGACTTCAAATATTGAGCCCTGAATTAATATAGCCAGTACTAGTTTCTAAAATGGCTTTTACTATATTAGTATTTTTGCAGTTAAAAGTGTTTGACTTCTGCCTTATAATGCCACATAATGTGAATGCATACACACTTCTTAAGACTTTATATGAAAATTTACCTTCTGCCAAGTTGTAAGCATATCATATATTCATGAGATTAGTTTGTACAAAGTGTTTTGATGTCTTCAGGATTTGGCATGGAAACAATGTATTTAGACTGGAAGAAAGGAGCTTTAGTTAAAAGCAAAGGAGAGGGTAAGAGAGTAAGAACAAAAATTATGTGGAATTCTCTGCGCGAAGAAGTGGTTTTAACAGTGTCTGTACAGCAACTGGATGAATTATTGCAAAAACATAATATTCAATATAATATTTAATGTTTGATAACGGCTCATTGATCCAAGGAGAAATCTGGCTGCCATTCTGGGTTTGGATTTTTTTCCTAATTTGTTGCAAAAATGTAGGCACTTCAAACTGGATTTTTGCCGTTTTTTTTCATCAACATTAGAAACAGATGTGAGAGGTTAAACTTGTTGGACGCAAGTTGTTTTTTTTTTTTTTTTGTGTGTGTTTACTTTGAGCCTATGTAACTGGAATTGGAGATCTCATACCTTGCATATTATCAAGATACCATGAGATCTATGATTGCTTTCCCCTTTCAGTACATTTAGTCTGACTGGTCACCCTCCTGCTTTAAACAATGCCGTTAACTATTTTTTAATATGCAGTCTTCAGAACTCTTAAAGACCTTAAAATGTTTTTTCAGATGGAGTCTGCACGAAAGGCATGGGAAAACTCTCCAAGTGTTGCTGATAAGGGTTCCCCAATCACCTCTTCAGCTCCTCCGATTACCAGCACACCTGCAGTTGGGGCTCCCACCAACTCCAGCAGTGTGGTAGGCGTGCCACCAACCAACAATGGAAATCCTGGACCTCCTGCTCCAAGCACTATTACATACAACTCTTTCTCCAATGCATCTATGCCCCCCATACCTGTAGCTTCAGTTACACCAACAACTTCATTAGCAGGTAGTTGACTATTGAATATACTTATTTTACTGGTTGTGGAGGATGGAAAAGAACCATTTGTAGCTAGCGTTTAATCTTACTGTTTTATAAATTGTTTTGTTTTTTTTTTCTTAACTAATTATTCAGTACAAGAACAAACTTGTGAATAAGGCTTCCAAGTTATATTTTTGATTCAGGTTTATTATATAAGATATGTGATATACATTTGTCTGTACAAAGCGCCCCCAGTAGACAGCCACTAAGGGCAGACTTACTGCTGCAATGTAAACATTGCAGTTCTTTGGAACTGCAACATGTAACATTGCAGCACTAGGTGCAAAAGGGACACAACACCCAGACCACTTCAATTAGCTGAAGTGTCCCTTTAGGGTGTCTAAAGTGTCCCTTTAGGGTGTCTAAAGTGTCCCTTTAGGGTGTCTAAAGTGTCCCTTTAGGGTGTCTAAAGTGTCCCTTTAGGGTGTCTACAGTGTCCCTTTAGGGTGTCTACAGTGTCCCTTTAGGGTGTCTACAGTGTCCCTTTAGGGTGTCTACAGTGTCCCTTTAGGGTGTCTACAGTGTCCCTTTAGGGTGTCTACAGTGTCCCTTTAGGGTGTCTACAGTGTCCCTTTAGGGTGTCTACAGTGTCCCTTTAGGGTGTCTACAATCTTTATTTAAAATGTTAACATTTACCAAATGCAAATAAGATTCAAAGCACCGTTTGTGTCTATCTTAAAATATCTCCAAAATCCTTATCTGAAAACTAATTTTGACCTTTAAGTTCAGACTTTCTTGATTTGTAAATAGTAGTAAAAGTGACACAGAGCCTGATTAGTTATAGTGATTTCAAACATTTGTTAAAAAAATAAAGGTGTCATCAGTTCTGCATATCTAATACTATGTAATTTGTCTAGGTGCTGGAACTTACACCACATCTTCCCTTAGCACCAAAACAACCACAACTTCAGATCCTCCAAACATCTGCAAGGTGAAACCTCAGCAACTTCAGAGTAATAACAGCATGCCTTCTGCAAGCCACTTCTCTCAGCTGAGTTGTATGCCATCACTAATGGCCCAGCAACAGAGTCCACAGGTGTATGTCTCCCAGTCAGCAGGTGTGCTCTTATGTTTTTGTTTAGTTTTTTTTGTAAATGTGTATTCTAGCTGATACTTTGTTTATTACTTGGCTAACCCAGATTTTTTTCTTTTGGTGGGGCTTATGGCAGGGTCTGCCGCACAGATTCCAGCTTTCTATATGGACACTAGTCACCTGTTCAACACTCAGCATGCAAGATTAGCTGCACCAACTCTAACCCAGCAGCAGGGATTTCAGCCAGGACTTTCTCAGGTATGACAATTCCTTTATTAACTTTTTCTTTCATTTATGATAATTGGAGGAGGAGGTGGGTGACTTGTCTTGACATTGCAATTACATTGCTTTGACGGTTATACTGTTTTGTATGAATAATTTAGCTTACATTAAAGGGACACTATGATCACCAGACCAAATGCAGTTATTCTGGTGTGTTTGTCCATGCAATTTGATGTCAATTTTGATGATCTCAGCCAAGGGGGCAGAGCCACCCGAGACAGACCCACACGGCGTTGGATTAAAGGTAAGTAAACCTCACCTTTAAAATTGCTTACTAGGGGGATGGAGGCATAAATAGTGTTTTTTCTTAACTAGTGATCGGAATACATATTTGTATTCCTGTCACTATAGTGTTCCTACAAGTGAAATTACGTTTGAAAGCATCTTACATTTACTGTACATATAGTATTCATTTTTATATCCATATTTCAAATATCTCACAAATTTTATAGGCTTCTCAAATTGTGCCCTGTTTTTTATGTTTTTTACTCTTTTTCTAATAAAGATCCCGATTCCAATCTATGCGCCTCTGCAAGGACAGCATCAAGCCCAGCTAGGTTTAGGGCATGGGCCAACTGTCTCTCAAGCCCAAGAGTTGTTCACACCATCTCTGCAACCATACAGGTAAAGAGGGCGTTGATTTTATTTTATGTCTGTGGTAATTAAAACAAAATAACTAGCAATTTTAGTGGCAACTCTAGTCTGAAATTTTGAGTCTCAAGCTGTTCCAAAACACATCAGACCTGCTGGAGATGTTTATAGTGCATATGTTTAAAGAATTTCAAGAAATGAATGTCTAATGTCCATGTAGAGCTCAGTAGATGTTTGGGAAATGTGATTTAAAAAGCTTGGGTTGTTTGTTAGTCATTAAGTCTGCATATAACTCTTTTAAGTATATTGTGCTTTAAATATTGAAAGTGTTCACTTACCACCCCCCCTTTTTCAGGTCCCAGCAAGCATTTTTACAGAACAACCTTTCTCAACCTTCTATGATGTTGTCAGGCGCAACCCTACACAATTTCACTGGTGTCCAACACCAAGATCTTGCCAAAGCTCAGTCTAGCCTTGCGTATCAACAGACAACAAACACACAAGCAATCCCTATCTTGTATGAGCACCAATTGGGCCAGTCTGGTCTAGGAGGGTCACAGCTGATTGATACTCATATTCTACAGGTAGGCATTTTGTTTATGGTTACCAGCTGAATCTGATGATTAAAACAGTGAAAAATCTATATTTTACATATAACTCTACGTAAAATTGAATGTAAAGTTTAATACTAATGTATCCTTTCAGACACGGCAAGGGTTGGGACAGCCTTCAAATCTTTACTCAGGGCAAGTACAACAGCCCAGTCAAACCAGTTTCTACAACACAGCGCAGTCTCCAAATGCACTTCAGCAGGTGAGGGTGCGGTTTATGGGATAAGAAACTTTGTCTGCAACTTTTCTCTCTTGATGGTGGAGTGGGCCGTGCTTTTTGTTTGCATAGTGCATACATTGCATGTAAATATGGATGAAACCAATAGAAGGCAATCCAAATGAAATATTCTTGGTACCTGATTGCAGTCCTAATGGAAGTGATTTTTTTACTTTTATCTCTCTAAGCCTGTGTCGGCAATGAGTGGACTCATGATGCTCTATGCACCACACACAAACTGCTTGTGTTGGTTACAGTTGTTAGCAAAATAAAACACGAGTATAATGCACACACTAAAAAAGGGAGAAAGCAACCTGCAGGGTGCTCCAGAAAGGGATGACTAATCCCTGGAGACATCAAATTGAAGAAAAGAAATATCAAGGCACACCTCAGGGTTTTTTTTTTTATTTGCAACAAGACCTTGATGAAGGCTCAGAGAGGAAATGAAACTTGTCTCCAGTTTCTTGTTCCACATAAAAGAATGCCTTTCAGTAGAAACATCAGATGTGCCTGGGTATTTATTTTCTTCCATTTGTGTTGGTTACACTGAAACTTTTATATATCCAAATTATTAAAAAGTTCAAGAATAGGAAAAAAAATATAAATTGTTAAATCATAGTGTATATTTTAACCATATGAAGGTTCATCGAGATGTGTAAACGTTTGTAACGTAAATTCTGTAGAGCAGTAAAGTTAAGTGGGCACTCCTATTGTAATAATAGGTGCAGTACTGACTTCTAGTGGCAGCGTTTCCACTTAAGTTTTACCAATAAAACTTTAGACTCTGCTGGACATCAAGTTTCTAATCTAAACTAATGTATTACTACATTAGAAGTCTTAAAGGACCACTATAGTGCCAGGAAAACAAACTTGTTTTCCTGGCACTATAGTATTAATAGGTGCCCCCCGACCCTCCCGCCGGGCTCTTGGGGGAGGAATTGGTTAAACACTCACCTTTCTCCATCGCCGGGCTCCCTCGGCGCTGGGGACTCTCCTCCCTCTTCCGCCGAAAGCGCGGCAAGAGCCGCGCCTGCATTCAGTCAGTCCATAGGAAAGCTTTCTCAATGCTTTCCTATGGACGCTGGCATCTTCTTACTGTGAAAATCACAGTGAGACGCGACTGTCAATGAGACAGCCACTAGAGGCTTGATTAACCCCTATGTAAACATAGCAGTTTCTCAGAAACTATGTTTACAGCAGGCAGGGTCAACCCTAGATGGACCTGGCACCCAGACCACTTCATTGACCTGAAGTGGTCTGGGTGCCTATAGTGGTCCTTTAAGGATTTTAACATCCATTGGTCCTCAAAGTTGCTATATTTTGCACTGTGCAGCCTTTAGAAGGTTGTCATTTAGTTTTCATATGGGTAACCTTACTTGAAGACCTTTGCCTCTCATTTATTATACATATCATGTTAAAAATATTATTGGAATAAAGGTTCTAAACTAGATGTAAGTTATTTTGTTATACTTTATATATAGAGATGTTTGTACTTATTAATTATAGGAAATATAGATAATATCCGATTCCTTCAAATTTTTCTAGATGACCGTACCTTTACAAGGGTCACAGTTATCCTTGCCCAATTTTGGCTCAGCAGCTGGGCAGCCTTTAATTGCTCTGTCTCAAGCAATGCCACCAGCTCCACAGGCTCAGCACCAGAATCTGTCCAGAAGTCAAGTGAACCAGGGTTACCGAGGCCTGATCCCTACAGGCAATCAGCATGGAATGATTCCTGGCCCTGGGAAGGTGAGAAATGTTGTCCACTATTAACAGTGGTTTATTTGGTTTCTGTATAGTTGCTTAAAGTTATATCCAGGAACCCACTGCATTCTGTTTAATTACTCTGTTTTTCCTTCCTGGTGACTCGCTCAACATTGAAACATTGTCTTCACATCCCTCTCAAAAAGACTCCATAAATCCCGCTATACCTTTTTTAACTTCACATGCCACTAAATGTTTCCCTGAATCACCTTTTCAATTTGTTGCAAATGTACTCTGCATTAGATACTCGTGGCCTACATCTTTAGATTGAATAGAAGGACGCTTTTAAATTTGAGTCCGGACTGTTCAGCTATAGAATCTATAGAAAAATGTCAAGCATTTACAGCTATATAAGCTGTTCAGACCAAGTGACTATTTTCTGACATAAGACTGTTGAAAGGGAAGTGGCTTACTATAGTACATAATGAATGTGCCTCCAGGTGCATGCTGGTAAATGTGTCACTGTTTGTGCCGTTTATTTTATCTCTGGATTAATTGCTGATATAATTACTGCATAATATTTGTGTAGATATCAGAAATGGACCTGAAGCCCTATGGTAGTGGCTTGGATCACGTGAAGCCAGGTACACCACCTGTGGGTGGAAGAAGCACCACTCCCACCTCCAGTCCTTTCCGGTAAGTATGACTTTTGCTAGCCATGGAAATAAGAAGTTATATAGCCTCATTGCATGCTAGTTCCTATGAAATGTGCACATTTTGAAATAAAAAATCAATATATACTTTTTTTTAGATGTGCTTTGTGTTTATATAGTTTACTTTTTAAATATATTACACTGCACACCTTTATTAGAGAGGAGTGTAAAAGTCATGGAACTTGTGTGTTATGCAATTGGCTGTTGTAGGAAGTTGAGACATCAGTCTATGCCGAGGCAGATCCAGAACCTAATCTTGGGAGGGGCACTGGAGTATGTAAAGGACCACTTCAGCCCTCTGTAGCGCTTATAGTGCCAGATGTGCTGTGGCGCCACCCACAAGTAAGTACTCAGTTTGAGAACTTACCTGTGGTTTGCTGGGATCGGGACATTAGTGGGGAGTTAAAGGCTGTAGTGGGAGTTTAGGCTTTGTTCAGATTGTTAAAGGCATTAGTCGGGCTGTAGGTTGGGGTGATGGGTTAGTTGTAGTGGGATTTAGTGGCTGTAGGGGGGGGGGGTTAAGGGAATTAGTCGGGGGCTTATTGTAGTTCTGGTGAGTATAGTCAGTCCCTGCAGGCATTTTTATGTAAACACTGTCTTTTCTGAGAAAAGGTAGTGTTCACATTACAGCCTAGAGACACCTCCAGTGGCCACTTTCCCTTTAGAGCTGCATTGGTTCAGTTAATATGTGAGGAGATGCTGATTGGCCATGCTGGCTTTTGGCTCTGCCCCGCCCCGCCTCCTTTAAAGCCAGTTCAACGCTTTTCCTTTGGGATCAATTCTGATGTCATCGAAGGAGGGTGAATTGGGGGTGGAACCAGCACACCATACTGAAAATAATGTACATATTATACCTGTTAAAGAAAGCAGGGGACAAGCCACCTACATAGTGGTTTTAACACGAAACGGTCAGGAATAAATGTTTGTGTTCCTGACTTTATATTGTTCCTTTAATGTGTTTTAGTATCAAACGTTGATAATATACTATAAGAGGGCGAGACAGGCAGTTTTCTGTCTGTTGTAAAAGGCAGATGACATGGAGGGATAAACTGAGCAGAATTTACACCTGTAATGAATTTATGGAAATGTGCTGTTCAACTTAAGGATTTCTATGATTTTTAAGTTTTAAACTTGCCATACTTTTTTCCAAGTGGCCACGAATACAAGCACTTTGCATAGATTTTAAAATTGCCTCATGCCCATTACTTTTTGAGATTTGAGAAAAAAATGTAGTGCTATAGGATTAAAAATAACCTATCACCAGAAAAAAATGGCTTTCTTAGTTTCTTTACAGTTAAAATGTTTTTTAATCTGAGCTGAGATTTACCTTAATGAACCCTGAAATAAATGCAACCAAAGTCGGTTGCGATTTTTGGCACTCGTTGCTAGAAATTTAAATTTTTATTGTGATCTGTGACCCAGGCTTGTCTGGTTTCTTTCGTAGTCTACTGCTTCATAGTCAACATGCCAGTATATGTTTTGGTGGGGTGAGGGGGATTTAGTTTTTAAACGGTGATGGGTTTTTTTCTTGTATCAATGTTAACAGTGATGACATTTTATAACTTTTTACATTTGTTAACTTTGACTTGAAAGAATAAATTTGTCTTTAAAAGTTTAATGCATATTTTTCTTTTGTTGTAATTTCTGCAGTATCTTATTCCAAAATAGTTTTAAATATTATATATTTACAGCTTTGTTGCATTGTCTTTTCTCTCAGGGCCAGTTCAACCAGTCCAAACAGCCAGTCCAGTAAAATGAACAGTCTGGTTTACCAAAAACACCAGTTTACTACAGCAGCCGGTGTCCGAATTGGGCAACCACCATTCCCTACACAGTTCCCTCCTCAGGTAATGAGTCCATGTCTCCAATAATGAGTTTACGATTAATATTACAAGACATTAATTTTTTTGTGTATTATGTGCCATAAATTCAGTAATCTATAGGTTAGGTCAGCGGTTCCCAAACTGTGTCCGCGGTGCCCGTGGTGCCGTGATTGGCACACAGGGGTACCGCAAAATGTTTCCCTGCTGCTATGATCATAGCACTAAGGAAACATTTCTACTGAATAGGAGCCCAGGCAGGCGCCGCGGCCATTTAAGACAACGACCAGGCCCATTTAGTGTCGACAGGCTGTGAGGAAGTGACAGCATGTCACTTCCTTCCAGCTTTATCCAAAGTGACTGTGCGGGACAGGCAGCATATATGTAGAGCAGAGCAGCACAAAGAGCTGCTCCAGACCCCTCACCACCAACTGCAGCAGGACCCCAAGTCACCCTCCTGGACACAAAAGGTAAGCTAACAGGAGGATAGCTGTACATATAAAAAAAATCGCATTTGTGTCAGTGTGCATCTGTGTGACAGGGTGTGCTTCTTTTTGTCTATCTGTTTTTGTGTACATGTGTCAGGATGTGCATCTCTGCGTATTAGTCTGTATCTGTGTCAAGGTGTGTGTTTGTGTCCGTGTCTGTGTGTGTGTATATATGTGTGTGTGTGTGTGTATGTGTGTATATGTGTGTGTGTGTATATATATATATATATGAATTTGTGTATATGTGTGTGTGTATATATATATATATGAATTTGTGTATATGTGTGTGTGTATATGTGTATATATATATATGAATTTGTGTATGTGTGTGTGTGTGTGTGTGTGTATATATATATATATATATATATATATATATATATATATATATATATATATATATATATATATATATATATATATGAATTTGAGTATGTGTCCATGTATTTATATGCATCTGTGTGCTAACGTGCATATATCCAAGCAAACACACTCCTGCAATCTAATACAAATATTACATGCAAACACACACCTGCCTCCAAATTACTAAATTATATACAAACACACCCTTTCACTCAAACACCAATGCTACACACAAATGTTTACATTTAAAAGCAAATATTGCATACACACTCACTCTTGACTTAAAACACTAAAATTTTATATACAAGCACCTCTTCAATTAAACACCAACACTATACATTAAACTATAGTGCCAGTATATGCCGCACCAATATACAGATATACAGTACAGAACTTTGTTTTGACTTGGAGTATCTTGGAAAAATATTTAAATATTAAGGGCGCCTTGAACCTAAAATGTTTAGGTTCTTGTTTTAGAAGCAGATCTTAAACGCCTGTTAAAGGGACACTATAGTCACCAGAAAAACTACAGCTTACCATGTCCCTGACTGCTTTTTTTTGTAAACACTACTTTTTCGCAGTAAAGGCAGTTTTTACCTTGTTGCCTATGAACATCTGTAGTGACCAGTCCTCAGACGGCCATAAGAGGTGCTTCCTGGGTTCAGTGTCTCCACGCTCTACATTGAGACGCTGAACTTTCCTTATAGAGATTCATTAATTCAATGCATCCATATGCGATGCTAAGCCAGGGCAGCGTTTGGCTCCACCCCGCCTTTGTCTGAGATCATCAGAATTCCTTTGGGAAAGCATTATGATTAGCTGAGATCATCACTTCTGATGTCAGCCAAGAAGACAGATTGGGAGTAGTACCAGGGGACCCACATGGCGCTGGAAATAAGGCAAAGGGGCTACATAGTAATTTTAATACCATAGGGTACATACATGTTTGTGATCCTTTAAACTAACCTTGCTTTTTAATTGCATGGTTTTGTACAGAGGAATGTGATTGGTTGTTTTGGTTTTTTATCTGAACACACCTTCTGATTGTAAGGAGTATTTAGGCTAGTTGTGACATACAGATTGAAAGGGTCACCTGTGACGTTCACTATGATGCTGAAAATCACAGCATATTGCAGCTTCAACCTTCCCACAGGGAAATATTCCAGCTAGACCCGGTGTTTTCATTATTTTGTCTGTCTTGTGAAACTCGTGCTCTTCCACACATCGAAGTCAATGAGGAAGAGGAAGCCACCCAGGTGCTCACTGAGCTGCTTTATAAAACCTGAATGAAAAATTGCCTTTAATTGTACAAATTTGCAAAAATGTATACAATTAAAGTAACTAGGAGAGGGATGACTTCCTTGCAATCTAATCTATGCATTAGAATAGCTTAAAAACATGGTGCCTGGAATGTCCCTTTATCTTAAGTATTTCACTCCACTATTGCTGCCATGTAAAAACATTTTTCAAACCATTACTAGCACAGTGTCCTCTGAGCCATCTCGTCTGCATATGTGACATTGATTTCTGTTTTTGAAGAAATCAACTTTTCACATGTGAAGAAATATTGTTAATCCATTCTCTATTCCAGTGGTTTTCAAGGCACGCCTACTAGCCCAGTAGTGTTAAGGTATTTTAGAATGAAAGAAAAACACCTTGGACCCAACTAGGTAATCCCTAAATCCTGGACTGGTAGGCGTGCCTTGAGGATTGGTTTGGAAACCACTGCTCTATTCTTTTCACATTCTTTGCAGCTGTAAAAGTAACAATCAAGTAGCTCTCTCCCACCCTTACTAGATGTTATGACTTCAATGAATGAACCTGATCATTAAAGGTACACTATTGTCACCAGAACTACAGCTTATTGCATTTGTAGAGTAGAATCATTCCCTTCAGGCTTTTTGCAGTAAACACTTGATTTTCAGAGAAAATGCAGTGTTTACATTACAGCCTAGTGATAACTTCACTGGACACTCTTTAGATGGCTGCTAAAACTGCTTCCTTGGGCAGTGCTGCAGAGTAAGCAGTACTGCCATTCAGTTTCTCCACCCTCTGCATGCAGACACTGAACTTTCCTCATAGAGATGCATTGATTCAATTAATCTCTATGAGGAGATGCTGATTTGGCCAGGGCTGTGTTTGACTTGTGCTGGCTCTGCCCCTGATCTGTCTCCTTGACAAGCTCAGCCAATCCTGTGGGGAAGTATTGTGATTGGTTCAGACCACCACTTCTGCTGATGCCAGCAGCTCCAGAATTGAATACAAGTAAGATGTTACTATATTTAGGGAATCAAGAGGAGGTCAGGGGGGCTAGATAGTTTTACCACTGTAGGTTCACGAATAAATGTTTGTTTTCCTGACCCTAAAGTGCTCCTTTAAGGAAAAGATGTGAATGCAATCTTTGCATCATCCATTATCATGTTACATGTGGCTATAAATGTTATGTTATCCATAGCCAGTAGCTACGGTACTAAATATCATCTAGAACTTAAATATCTGACTCAAGTGTGGATATTCATTTGAACTTAATTGTTTTCTTTTTGCTTTAGATTCTCTCACAGCCCAACCTTGTTCCTCCTATGGTCCGAGCACCTCATCCAAATTCTTTTCAACCTCCTGTTCAGCGCCCACCCATGGGATTGCCCAATCAGATGCCCGCAGGCCTGATGAACCATCCTCGCCTTCACCACGTGTCTCGAGCTCCGCCTGTTGCACCTTCAGGGGTTCGTGTTACTTCGACACATGCTGCTATGAAGGCTGAGCAGGATTTAAAGGTCAGTGTGGCTTATGGAAATCAATTTGCATGTAAATTAACTTATTCCCACCATCACCACCACTATCTATTTAAAGTCTTCTGTCCAGCCTTATTTATAATTTACAATTCAAATAGTTAACACATATTTACCAATATCAACTATTCCTCTTCCCTACATCATACTAAAAGTTTACTAATTTACAGAGTTGAGGTGTATGTATAGGAGATGTTATCTTCCCTGCACTTCAGAGTTGTCCTGACACATTTTCAAGATGTTCCTAGCATTCGTGCTGGCATATTTTCTGATAATCCCCATGAGTTTAGATTCCTTACATTTATGCTGTTCACAATGCACTTACACAACACTATCAGTTAAGACCGTGACAGCCTTGCAAATAACGAAATTCTTCAGCAAAAATACTTTGCAAAAAGTGTCATAGCTAACATTTGGTTTTTGCAAATACTTCAGAACATCACATGTAACTCACTTTTTGAAGAGGGCCTGCCACCTTTGAGTTTGTCATAAAGCTAGACTGTTCATGAAAAAAATTAGTTGCATTAGAATTTTATGAAAACTCCAATTAAATTAAGATATATGGGTTACTTTGACTTGTGTATGCAATTAAACAAGACAACTTAAACAAGGCAACTTGAAACCTTGATCAATTTCAGTTGTCTTGACTTTTCCCATAGTCTTTCACAAATAACAGATGGCCAAAAAAAGCATTTTTTGCCTTTGAACTTAAAGGGACACTCTAAGCAGCAAAGCCTTTACTGCTTTAGTGCCAGGAATACAGCTTTGTATTCCTAGCACTATAGTAACCCTTTAATGAAATAAAGGAAGAGCCGACCTATGCATCTTTCTGTCCTTCAACTGTGGGAAATTGTTGGAATTTTTCTATATTTTTGCGAGATTATTATAAGCTTGGTTTTTCAAATGATTCAGCCTTAACCACATGGTCCACTCCTTATTTATCATTATTCTCTTTTAATATTTCCTTCCTTTCCTTCGTTCCTTATTTGGATTTTTTGTTATTAACTATCTGAAAACCACTGTGATTAGGAACAGCTGTGGATGTAGTTTATCACGGATATTTGTATCCTATTAGTGACATCTAGTGGGCATTTTATGTCACTTTACTGGAAACTACATAGCATGAGAACAAAATAGATGAATTTGCTGCAATTTACAATTCATTACTCTTTTTTGTGTTGCCAAAGTAGCGGTTCCTACGGACTAATTTTTTGTAGGGTAATATAAGACTATATATGTCTCACAGAGATCAACTCTAATTGATATACTTTCTGAGTACAATTCTACATGATTTTCTTTTTTTTGTTTTTCAATTTTACTTTTGATAACTTTTCACCCATACGTGCTAGATAGATCTATTGATTCGTGTAACAAAATATTTTAAAAAAATAATTTTTTTTACCCCTTAGAGGTGGGCTGGCATTCAGTCCTAAACGCATAGATAGTCCTCACCATCATTAATACTCACCAGGTCCCCTCTGATCTCCCAACAGCGGACATGATTCTGGGGACTGCCAGAGAGCTCACACAGTCCCCCTCCATCTGATCCAGCCTTACCGGGCCATGCGGTCCTCGTGATTACATAGCTGGCTTGTGCAGTTCGTGCAGGGGGACTGCTTGAGCTCTCGGGCAGCCCCATCTAATGCCTGCTAAAAAAAAAAGAAATTGTATTTTTTTTTTTTAAGTTTAATAAAGTTGTTAAAACTCTTTCTGAATTCAGCAAAAGTACTTAGATTTTATATATGTATGTGTGTGTGTGTATATGTATGTATGTATGTGTATATATATATATTATGCGAAGTTCCTTTATATGCGCATATTTTATTTTATTTTTTTAATCACAAACACTGGCCAGAATTGGCGTTCAAATTAGTTTTTTGCAATTTTTACACACAAACAAATATGAACACTAACTTTGGCCAGTGTGTGTAAATAAGTGGCTACTAAAAAAGACTGTACATATCCTATTTGTAATACCGTGGGTTTTCTACTTTAGCAAATGGTATGCTATCATGGGGATAATTCTTATTCCTGGGCATACGGTCTCAAAGTCAACATAACCAGTCTGGCAAATTACAACGTGTAAACTGAAAAATGTAACGTTTCAAAACACAATAAAACCTGTACATGGGGGGTACACGTGAGAAATCGCTGAATACAAATATGTGTATTTTATTGTAGTAAAAGCAAGCAGTATTATAGCATTCAAAGTTAAAATGCCATGCAGAACTACAGAAAATAGCATTTCTTAATTTCTCACATTTTTTTTATATTGCATATTAAATTATTTCATAGCTAAATATTTGATGTGAAATGAAAACCCTGGTTCACAATAAATTATATATTTTGTGGGTGCACTTTAAATGAAAGAAGTGAATTACCGTTGAACAGACATAGTCAAATTCCAGGTTTTGTTTACTTTTTTTTTTTATCAGAATGTGTACAATTGGCGTAGTCCTTAAGGGGCTAATAATAAAAAGGTTATGTTTTATTAGTATTTATGACCAGCAGATTTTATAGATTACATGGTTGCTTGCTGTGCCTAACATGTTGTTGAGATTTCTCATCCACACTGGTTTTTAATTGGTCCAGCTTAAATGTATATGCTTCAGGCACAGTGTTTTGGATATAAATTTCTTAAATGTGTTTTCAGAGTTGTACATTTGTAATGCTTACTAGACATAAAAATTTATATTCATATACCTTTGCACATCTTAATTAATGGAACACATCTGTTTTGTTTTTTTGGTTTTGTTCTGGTTTTTTTTTTTTTGTTTTCCTTCCCATTCCTTTAAGGCAAAACAGAGAGCAGAGGTCCTACAGTCAACACACCGTTTCTTTGAGCAGCAACAACATCAGCAGAGCAAACCAGTTGTATCGAAGCCTCCGAAAGCAACCCCAGCGCCTGTTAAGCCTACAGACAGCCTGCCAGATCCCACAATGGTCCAACAGGAGAAAGTGGAAGATAACTCAGCACCTGCAGCCCCTATGGCCCCAGTTGCAGTGCCGACATCCACTAAACCTATTAGAACTGGACCAATTAAACCTCAGGCCATCAAAACAGAAGAGACAAAATCATAGATGCAGTTTGTAGATGGTTATGTTTTGAGCATTACACTGAGGTGTATTGATTATTTTCATATATGCTTTTTGTTTGTTTACTGAAGACACAGCAGCTCAAAGTACTGTGGGTACAGCAGACGTTTTAGTTAGCAATCATGTGAAGGAGATGGTGTCTGTTCTTGCTGCCCTTTCAGCATTTTAGATCTGAGAGGTTGACTTATTTTTTTTAATTTTTTTTTCTCAGAATTGTCCCTGGCTGTCTAAAGAGTTTAAAATCCAAATGCTTACAAAACAGCATTTTTACATATATATACACACACACACACACACACACACACACACACACTCACACTACGGGACTTGTAGATCATTTGGATGGGCTTTTACTTCTGTATGGTGTTTGAAAAAATGAAAGAAAAAAGGCCCTGTTATCACATACCTTTTTACTTTCACTAAACACACTGTGCTAGAGTGAGCTTGAGTGAAACATGATATATGTATACCCAAACACGCTTTATGGTCTTGTTTAGGGTTATGCTATTTGATTTTATTTCACACTGTTATCTGGGATTTCTCCATATCTGGCCTTGCAGAAATTTGTCTGTGGGTCTTACATGAAGACACAGATTTAACTGTTATGTAATGAAATAAAAAGTTAATTCTTTACATGACACTTATCACTTAAAATAAATGCAGATATGGAAGATAGTTTTTGACTGAAAGCTATCTTGTTTGACACATTGTCAATCACTTTTCTTTTGACTCTAGCACAGGCCATTCTGGGTAAAAAGCAAAACACATATTAAGGTCCACTGTGTAGTATTGGTGAAGTAGCTGGATTTTTTTTGATTTTTTATTTTTGACCCCTCCTCAACACAGCTAAGCTAGAACAATATAAAACATGTCATTGTTGCTGCTGTCATAAATGTTTAACGATATCACTCTGTATACTGTACCTTTAAAATCTGACCTCCTTGCGACCACATTTGTTTTGTTTTTTTCCTGAATCAAGTTAAATGGCGAGGTTTTTTTCTTTTGTTTTTTTTAATAAAATGAAAATTAAAAAAAAAAATCCTAATTACTGTTCTGGACATAATGCAAGACTGTATATTATAAAATGTAAATGCAGCAATGTTGTGGTAGGTTGTTTTTTATGGAAAAGTTTTGGAGAAGATTGTGGTGGGTCTTTTCTAATTATATAAATGGTATGGATTAGCCAGTTACAGAGATTAGGAAGCCACATGTCTAAAACTATATTCATTTATATTTAAACAAGGAAACATTGAGGAGCAGGGGGCCAATCTAAATTATAGGGCATCTGTTGAAGGCTGGTCACCATTTGAATGAGTTTTTTGGGGGTTTTTTGTGCGCATTCATTTCATTACGTCTAAGCTTGAGTTTTAACACTATATAGGCGGCAGTGATGTATGACTTGGTACGGAAATGCTTGCGCATCAATAAAGTTAAATGAAAAGTCACTGTAAGATCAAAACATTGTAATTTCAAATTATGGTTAAAGCTTGATCAGCACATACATAGCTAGTTAAATGACTGAGGTGCTTTAATGAAGCACTTGTAGTTAGAATGTACTTTCATGTTGAGTTTTACATTTTTTTTTTTTTTTTTTTTATGGTAAAAAATATTGGTACAGCAGAAAACAAATTTCTCCCACTCGTATGTTTTGGCATTGTATAGAATTTACTTTACTGCCAATCTTACACCTGCGTTTTGGGAGTTTGTTTAAACACCTATTTACAGAAGCTGTTAGAGAAAAGAAAAAGTACATTGTATTAAATATGTAAGCTCTTTACTTACCTTATCCCAGTTTGAATACAGGAACTAATAAAGTATTCTCTAAATAAAGATTAGTCTGTCATGCATTAAACTTTCTGCCATAGAAAGATGGTGAATGTATTGAGGTTATATTAGAATTGCTGCTCTAGAATAACATAAGGGGCATTTTGTTTTGGTTTTCCTACATATTGAAATTTGGAGGAATAACATCTCATTGGAAATCATTTGTTGTCCTAATGGAACAAATGACTCCAAACAGTATGCGGATATCCACTGCCATGGGTAAAAGTATTCACAAAAATGTGCCTTAATTGACTCACACATGTTAGGGATGTGTTAAACACTATATACAATGCACAAAACTGCAAATTGGCTCATTGATTTGACAAATTAACTTTGTATGCTGTTGATCTATGCTGTGTTCCTGAGAGGCTAAATTAGAGGTGTGTGTTATAAAGACGATTTGACAGTTAATGGGGACCATTTCAAAAGTGACAGCATATGCCACACATGCAAAACTGCATTAGCAGATAACCTTTTGAAATGATTTAAAAGGTATAGTTTGACTTTCCACAGATAAGTTGCACTCATAGACACAGAACTGAAAGAACCTCTGAGGCCATTTCAACACAATCATGAAAAGATTCACAAAGTGGACATTTATGGAAAAACTGCTCTTATGGCTCACTGAGCGTTCAATCTCCGTACTGCAAATGACTTGGGTCTGTTGTAGATTATACATTTACTTCTTGTATCAGTCGCCCTTTGGTGCAGGCTGTCGGGACGTCTCCATTTCTTCTTTTTTTTTTCTGTCACTGCACATTTTATTTTAGTGGGTTCCTTTCTGGCTTTAAGGTGCTTTTCAGGCACCCAGCTTCCATCCCTGGAACCCTGCTAGCTACTAGTTCTAGTCTTCTCTGGGTTTCCAGATGCATATGTATACACTTTTTTTCAGCGTGATATTATTTTGAGGCAAATGTAGCAGAGTGTGTATGTTTATATATATATATATATATATATCTTTTTTTTTTCTGGCTTTAGATATTGGCAGGGGCTTTATCAGCTGCCCACTTTTGTAAGAGAGTCTCTGCTACTAGGTGGCCACATTCTACATTAGTAATGGCAAACCTTTTTGAGCCCGAGTGTCAAAACTGCAACTTATGACCAATTTATTTATTTCAAGATACAAACTGCAATTAAGATTAACAAAAATAAGGCACTGTGTTTAGGCTGTGTGTTATGTTTGATAGCTGTTTAACTGCATCTTCATCAGCCACACTAGGTCACCTTTCCTGGATTAGAGCATTGATGGCACAAGTCTTTCAGAAGGATCCCACTCCAATCAACAGTGTACCCAAAAGGAAGTTTTTGATTAGGATTCTGATTCTAGTGTTGAAGTCTTTGGAATACTTTTGCCTCTTCTGTTCTAGACCAAACGGATGGGAAGCTGACTCAAGATCTTGGCTCTGCAGTATGCTCCGAGGTGGAGCATCTTGAGATGCTTAAGGCTGACTACATTTTTTTCATTCTTGCTAGAGCAACAAAAGACCTTTTCATGTACATAAAGTAATATACACTGAACAAAATTATAAATGCAACACTAGTATTTGCCCCCATTTTTTATGACTTGAACTAAAAGATCTAAGACTTTTTTGATGTACACAAAAGGCATATTTCTCTCAAATACTGTTCATACTGCACATTTTAGAGTGGCTTTTTATTGTGGCCAGCCTAAGGCACACCGTTGCAATAATCGTGTAGTCTAATCTGCATCTTGTTATGCTAAATTTGTTAGGTGGCTGGATTATCTCGGCAAAGGAGTGCTCACCAACACAGATTTAGGCAGATTTGTGAACAATATTTCAGAGAAATAGGCCTTTTGTGTACATAGAAAAAGTCTTAGATCATTGAGTTCAGCTCCCAAGAACCTCCCATGGCACAGAATAAACATAATCCCAGATCTAAACTGTGCAATTGAATTCATGCCCTGCTCCAAAAGGTGTGAGTAAAAGGAGCACATATGTATTGGATCACAGCTGACCTCATTCAAATCTACCAGTTTAGACATTATGGTCAAAGTCCAAGCGTACTTGTTTTATAAACAAGCACTGTGCTTATAGACAACGGTGAAATATATGCACAAAATTGGCCAAGGCCCAATATTTCAGGGAAAATCTGAACAATAATATTTCAAACATTAGTAACCTTTGGGAAATCATAGATAACTTACAAGCTCCCTCCATTAACTCACAACCCTTTACTGTCAAAGTGGACAACCAAACCCTGCAACAGCCTTTATATGTAGCAAATGCCTTTAACAATTTTTTTGTTGGATGTTCCACCACCCTGACTGCCAAGTTAATAAATGACATGCATTCTGAAACTACAAATATGCATCAAGTTTGCAAAGACTCGATAAGAAGTTCACTTTCAGACCCCTACCTTTAGTGTCATTAAGAAGCACCTTAATCTATAAATAAAAAAAGGTCTGCACCTGAACAAATCCCAGCAATGCTGTTGAAGCTCAGTGCACCAACAATTGCTAAACCTGTTGCAACCCTAATTAACGAATCCTTGGTGTCTGGATACAGACCCAAACTTTGGAAGACTGTGAGAGAAGTGCCTATCCATAAAAGTGGTGACACTACTTTGGTTTCTAACTATCGCCCAATATCATTGCTCCTAATATTGTTAAAAATCTTGGAAAAATGCGTCCATTCGTAACTATGTGAGTATTACCAACAATCTAATTAGCTGACCCCTGATCAATCGGTTTTCGCCCGAATCACTCCACCACAACTGCTGTCTTAAAAGTTTGCAATGATATTTAAACTGGCATAGAACAAGGAGACCTAATTGGACCTTGATTTTGCCAAAGCCTTTGACACAGTAGACCATGACATTGTACTGCACAAACTCAAAAACCTGGGTATTGGTGATCGTCCACTTACCTGGTTTGGATCATATGTATCAGATCGATCACAATATGTGATGCGACTCCTTCCCTCTTCCAGTCACGTGTGGTGTTACATACTCGGTACCTTACTACTTAATATTTGTAAATGAGAGAAATCTCAATGTATCCTTCCTGGTAAAATATTTTATAAATAATATATTTCTCCAATATGTCTTCAGCTAAAACCAGGCAAGAATCACTGTGGGTAGGCTGGTTCTAAGACTTCTTATGGTAAGCTTTTTCCCTTTGATTCCTTTCATTCTATATT